CTAATGAGAAATAAGTTCAGAGAATAGCCCTCCAGTGGTGGTGGTTCAGAACTGCAAGATAATTTTAAATTACACTTTTTATTTATTTGTAATCATTCCTGCTTATTCAAATTATTTACTGCCTGGCATTTCAAACGAGGGACAGCCAGAGGTCTCACCTCCCCCCGTCCCACCCAAAAAAATGATATGGATCATTATACTGATTTTAGTCTTTATGGAAAGATGTCAGCTTATCTAGAAAGTTCTGCTCCTTGGTATATATCTTATAGAAAAGATAATTTCTTGATAATACTTAGCTCAGTTATAGAAGTTATGCTTTCATTGAAATGTCAAAATTTTGTTTTAATAGTTTTGCAGTTCTTCTGTATCAATCCTGAGAAAAGTAATTAATGAACGATAACCGAGCGGCATCTTTCCTTTGGCATGAATTTACTAGTGAACTCCAGCAAGCACATACTCTCAGTTTTTGCCCTTTGTTAATCTATTACATGAAGAAAATAATATGATTTATCTTAAGGTGTTCTACAACTGGAGGATATGTGCCAAGTATTATTACATCTTTATAAAAAAAGGCAGCTACTGCAGTGTTGCATTAAAATAACCATTTGTTCATTTCTGAAATGACTTTCCTGTCAACTATAGGTTGCGTGACTTGGAGACTATCAATAAATCACTAAAGTACTACAGAGATACTTATGGTGCACTGGATAACTGGATTAAACAAGTTGAAGAAACACAGCAAAAATTTCAGGAAAACCCACCCCAGAACAGTAAAGCTCTGGCGAAACAGCTAAATGAGCAGAAGGTACAATCATGAAAAGTTCCATAATATCACTTAAATGAACCGAATTAATAATTCAGCTTCATTGATTGATTGTGCGCTCTTTAATCATTTTTTTTACTTCTAGCAATCACATAGATCTATCTGTTCCTAACCTGGCCATTTAGGTCTTCCCACAGTGAACTCGTTATTATCATCATTGTAACTAAATCCATCCTCTTCTCTTTCCATCCTTCCCAGCCTTAGATCCTTTTCCAGATTGCTAGGTCTTCTGCATAACTTGATTTTGATCATCTGTGCCTCAAGAAAGAACTTGGGTTGATTTGGTTGAGGATCTTCTGGTTTGTTTTCTTGGCTGTTCGTGGTAGTTTTAGAAGTCTTCTCCAACACCAAGCTAAAAGGCATCAATACTCTTAACCTGCATTTTCAAAGTCCAATTAAGCTAAATAGCAATGTTCATTTCAACTATTTAAAACTATCTCATTTTAAATGCTGTATTGTAATGTTGGCATATGGTTTGAAATAGTTTGATGGCGTATGTAATTCTTAACAGATGAAAGAAACAGAGTCAGTAGATCTAAGCAACATAATGCTTTCCTCTATGTTTGCTTAAAGTTATTTAGGAGGAGGAACATGGAAAATGAATGTCTTAAAATAGTTTAAAAAAAAGTACTATATATTGAATGCCACTACTTATTTTACAGATGCTGGTGTCTGAAATGGAGATGAAACAAAACAAACTAGATGAATGCCAGAAATACTCAGAACAGTATTCAACTGCAGTAAAGGTAAACCTGCAATTGTGTGTGTTTACTTATCAAAGGGAAAAATAACTGAGTGTAAAGGCAGTCATTGACTTCCAACCATTCATTTAGCGACTGTTTGAAATTACAAGATCACTGAAAAAAGTGACTTATGATCAGTCCTCGCACTTACGACTGTCACAACGTCCCCACAATCACTTGATCAAAATTTGGGCCCTTGGCAACCGAGGATGTGGTTTACAATGGTTGCAACATCCTGGGATCACATGATTGCCATTGGTGAGTTTCCCAGCCGGTTTCTGGCAAGGAAAGTCAGTAGGAGAAGCCAGATTCATTTAATGCCATGTGATTCACTTAACAACTGCGGTGGTTCTCTTAATAAAGATGGCAAAAGTTGTAAAACCAGACGCAATTCACTTAAGTATATCTTACTTAGCAAAGGAAATTCTAGTCCCAATTGTGGTGTAAGTCAAGAAACTACATTTATTAAACTGTCACAGTTGTCTTTTTGCCATAGTTGTTGCCTGGAAATTTGGGGCTGCTTCCTCTTGTTACTACTCCTCTCCCCATTGTGTAGGGATCTTCATTGGTGTTGCAGGGATGACCATCCTCAGCCTGAGACAAATGATTTTTTATATTACCAAAGCAATATGCAATGACATGAGAGAACCTGCTTTTCCCCAGCTGTGGTAACTCTAGAGTTCAAGAGGAGGGGCTCAGCCCTTGTTATGTTCAGGTTTTACTACACTAGTATCATGGCCTGTTGTAATGAACTGTGTTTATACTCTCTGACGGATCCTTAATATGGAACATACGATTTATAGTTTTTAATGTCCCTTACCCCACCTCCCTCCTCTCTCTTTTTTTTTGGTAGGATTATGAGTTGCAAACAATGACATACAGAGCCATGGTTGATTCCCAGCAAAAATCACCTGTAAAACGCAGAAGGATGCAGAGCTCCTCTGACTTCATTATACAAGAGGTAGGTTGTTTGTTTAAGCAGTTACTTATATGCTTATTTATATGTTTTCAGACCTAGACTTCACAGGACAATTCACATTGCAAAACATTAAATGACAGAGGTAGGAAAAAGGAGAGCCATTAAACAAAAGTTATACAAAAGTGGTACCCAATTAATTAGAACATAAACAGAAGCCAGATGAAGGGAAGTTATCCTATCAGCCGAACAAAGACATCAGGGCATGTTTCAGAGAGGTCCATCTGACCATTGTCTGTCAGTGAGGTTTTTCACATATAGGGAGATCAGGTTTTCCCCCCCCCAACATGAGATTGCAGATAGACACTTCCTTCTCATCATTTTGTCATTCATTAACGTTCTAAGCCCTAAGGAGACTTGGAGTCAGGACATCAAAACGATTAAGAATGGAGTTGACCAAGATTAGTTAGTGTTTTTTTTATGACAATTTTTTAAAGTGTAGTTTCTGCAAATGAATTACCCCATTTCCAAATAATTCATATATTCAGTGTTTATTTAATAGTCAGATTTACATCCCATCTTTATTTTGTACAATTAAAGTCACCTCCTTCCTCCCGTTTTCCCCACAGCCATAATTCTGTGAGGTAGCCAGGCTAAGAGAGAGTGACTGGTCCAAGGTCACCCAGCCAGCTTTCATGCCTATGGAAGGACTAGAATTCAGAGTCTCCTGGTTTCTGGTCCATCAATCTTTGCCACTATACCATATTGGTTCTGAAATAAGAGACAGGTCTAACTTGTGGAGTTCTTGCTTTTTGCTGTATGTCATAGTTTTATTTTTGTAATAATAGCTGTTAACTACATCGGTCCAGTTTCTGTGACATACTTGACTGTCTCATGTTGAGGAGAAGTGTGTTGCATGAACTCCAGAACTGGATCAATTGATGCATCCAGTTAACCATGGAGCTAGATTTAGTTCCAGAAGGCCTGAGCTTGTTTGAGGCTCAGCTCAGCGCCTCTTCTGATGTCTGTGATCTAGATATAGTCCTAGAGAGCCTCTGCGAAAGCCACACTGGTAGAAAGTGAATAATTACATCAGGACAGATCAGTTTATTACAACCACAAGGCCAGAAAATAATAAAACGTGTAATAGTTACCTACAGAAGGTGAATATAAGTAGTCCCTCTTCTAACTTTGTCCACAGTGGTTTTGCAGGTTTTGCCAGTGCAGACTTAAAAAGTGATTTAATAAATGTCTAAATATAAAGGATATCTGTAGTGGCCAGAAGAGTCTAGAAAATGACTACCAAGAACATTGTTTAAGATATCCAGTTATGTGTTGCTGGTACATACAAATGAGTTAATGCAAATCATGCCTGTTAGCCTTTAGAATCTTGAATCTTCTTTTCCACTGTACTGAATGATAAGAGGTCTCATTTAGAAAACACTGCTAGGATGTATTGCATATGATTACTAAAGCTAGTAGTTTAAAGGATGAAGAATTAAGAAATTAATTCCATGATAGCAATAGCATTTAGGCTTATATACCACCCCATAGCACCATCTAGGCAACTTACAATGTCAGCATTACTTGCATATTGCCCCTAACAATCTGGGTCCTCATTTTACCGACCTCTGAAGGATGGAAGGCTGAGTCAAGCCTTGAGCTCCATCAGGAACGAACTCCAGGCTATAGGCAGAGTTTAACTGCAATACTGCATGTTAACCACTGTGTCACCAAGGCTAATCGTTGTGATGCAATGATTTCTCATCTTTTATTCCTGAGACCATCTGTACTATTTACTTGAGGCCACGCAAGACAAACAGAAGTCAGTTCTATTCCACAGCTTTGTTACATTGAAGCCCTTTGTCTTGTGACTAACAGATGTAGTACATTTCTCAAGCTTGATCACAAAACACCTTCCCTTTCTTTCAGAAATCATAATGGAAGCTACATTTTTTATTTGTCATATTTTGAGCTATTCCTCTGTTTCATTTTAGTTTATGGATTTAAGAACACGCTACACAGCCTTGATAACCTTGATGACTCAGTATATAAAGTTTGCTGGTGATTCCTTGAAAAGGTTAGAGGAGGAAGAGGTAAGTCAATAGATATTATCAAAGGAACAGTAGAACAATAAATTATGCCTTTACATGAAAATGTAAATATCAGAATTTCTTTATCAGCTTTATGTTATTTATAGGCACCAGTACTGAAACAGGTGTAATAAATGCATTTTGTATGCCATGCTGCCTCTTTAATAATTCTGATTTGAAAACTTTTTAATCAAGGTTAAAGATTACTTTTCACCTGTAAGTTGCTAAAACACTTTTCTGTGGTGTTGGGTCTTCATAGAAATCTCTCAGGTACAGAGCAATCCATAAAATTAGCTCCTTTAGGTAAAGTTATGTTAAAAATAAATTTTATTTCATTGTTAAAGATGCAGAAGGAATTGATGATCTGTCTTTTCCATATATAGTTCTGTCAGGTAATGAGAAACACAATCTCATTAACAAGTCAGAATGTCCAATTTTGACTTAATAGTTTGCTTATTCATTTCAGAAAAACAGATACTATTCTGTAAAGAATTGATTGGACCAATTCATCAGAGTTCTTTTATTCTATTAGACTATTTATTGTCATCATGAGAAAAATATACAGGAATCATCCACTAAAATGTTTTAGCATACTTCCTATTTATTGGTCCTAGAGAGCTAGTAAACTGGTCTTTTAAATATCTTTGTTGTCAGTTTTTTGGGATAATTTTGGCATAGGAAATAACTTCATTTATAGGGTTGGAAGTTGAGGAAATAAATAGCAGCCATTCTCCATTTTAAAATGTGTGGCTGGAAAGTGGCCACAAAAAGAGGACATACCAGATGAAGCATGTCAGCAACAATAAAGTCGAATTATTTAGTCTTTGGAAATAGTATTAGCAGGGAAATCTGGATGAAGTCACATGCAAGTAAAGGTTCCTTAATTCATTGCACCATGTGTAATATTGAGCAAGACAGTTGTAGAAAATCTTTGTAGAAAGAGTATTGGTGGTTCTGAATCTGTTGTTGGCTGTGAGTGAAAAAGCACAACGAGAAATAATAAAGAAAAGTGATAAATAAAAATAATAAACATTGGTAGAATCTTTGATGGCAAGATGAAATTAACATTAAGAGATGGGCAACTAACCTACAGAGATCATGCCAAAAAAGTGTGATTATCATTCAGAAATATAAATTTGAATACAGTATAAAGATCATTCCCTAGAACAGTGTTTCTAATAGTCCTAGGATGCCTGTGGGTTTAATTGCTTTTAAAATAATTCCAAATAGCTGTAAGATTTCTAAAAGATATATGGGGTTGATCTGCCTAATAATTTGTTATAATTGGTTTATATTTAAATATAAAGTACAGCAATGTGAATTCTATATTAGACATAAATAAAATTATAATTTCAGTGGATTTACTCTTTTGAATGGCATAGTCAAGATCTAAACTATTTTAACAAAAATACTCTTGGTTATATCCTGTGCTTCCAGAATTACAGGATTACAATGGAACTATAATTATGAAATATTAAAAATAGTGCTGCAACACGTTTCTTTAGAAATTATATATGAAAGAAAATTTTATTGCAGTCATTTGAGAGCTGATGGAAGTGCAGTTCTATTTACGTAAATAGTTTTTTGATTGAATATGACTATTAAATAGGGAAGCAGAAGTGGGTAAAGCTGACTTTCGACTGGCACCTATACCGAGATGAAGCAAAATGTACGATTTTAGAATAAGGTTCTTCTGTTTCCATTTGGATAGGGGAAAAAAATGACAAAAATTTACTACATGGATTTAAATAGTGATTATTATGGTAGAAGGATATGTTTATTCCCTAATTAAATCAGCTTTCTGGTTCGTCGAGTTTATGAGAGTATTTTCAAATGTCTAACCGAATCAAGAATTGTCATATGTACTAAAACGTTCCTTTTCGTATTCAACTAACCCTAACATGCCAAAATGCTTTTTTTTCTTGCATGATGATGTGTATTGCTGGAAAAGTTATTCTACTTTAGCTTTCAAGCACAGACACATGCAAGTATGCTTTGGGGCAGAAACTTCAAATCCTTGAACAGCTCTTGTCCTGAATGAATGAGCAGAGAATTCTTCTTAAGGACATCAGTTGGTGGAACTCCTCACTGCAGCTTTTTCTTTACTCTTATGGTGGCTTTCTGAGTGGGACAGTGGTGGTGGGCAGCAGACGGTGTGGCTGAAATGCTGTAGATAATAGAGTAAGTATTTTTGCAATCATGCGTCATCATTTCAGTGTGTTTCAGTACTATTATTAAAACATAGGATAATACTTCTTTCTTCTTTTATTTTTAAGACTCTGAAAAATAAGGAGGCCCTTGTACGTGGGGAATTTTATAACCTGGAAGAACAGCAGAAAGCAATACTGAATGAAAACAAGAAACTTATGGCGAGAATAAATGAACTTGAGAAGGCTCTGGAGGAGATAAGGAAACAGAAGCTGCAGCTGGAGGAAGAACTTCCAAAAGCCAAGGAAGATGCAGAAAGGGAATTAAGGAAGCAGCAGAAAAAAACAGAAGAGATTTGTCTTCAGAAAGCTAAGGCTGAGCAAGAAGCGAAACGAATTTCCATGGAATTAGAGGATGTCCTTAAAGAGAAAGAAGCCGCAGAACAGGAGTTAGAACGGGTGAAACAGCTGACTTTGAAAGCTGAGGTTCAAAGAAATGCAGTTGAAGAAAACCTTAGGGCTTTCAGAATTCAGCTAGAAGAAAGCAACATGATTCGAAAAACTTTTGAAGAACATTTAAGAAGGAAAGACACAAGTCTTCAGGACCTGGAGCAGCAAAAAAAGGCTTTAATGGAAGAGCTGAAGAAAAAAACAGCTGAAGAAGAGAAGCTTATGAAGCTAATTAAGGAAATGGAACGTGATCTTGAGATGCAAGGTAGTTCAGTGAAAAACAAGTTCAGAGAAAAAGAAATAACTGACATCAGAAGGCAAATTACTATAATAGGAAGAGAAACTTGCTCAGACATTTTCAGAGAAAAGCAAGACATAAAGAACATAGAGGAATTCCAACAAATAGTAGATGAACTAACCGTGGCCAACAAAAAATCTGAAAAAATAATTAAGGATTTAAAATATGAACTTCATGAACTTGAGCTACAAAATGCATCCTCTGAAGAAAAGGCTCGTTTATTAAAGGAAAAACTAGATGAAGCCAATCATTCTCTCAGACGTCTTAAAATAGAGTTGGATCAGAAAGAACTGGTTGAGCAAGGTTACTTGGAACAACTAAAAGAACTTGACAAGCAGCTGCAGAAAGCCACAGGCAAAGCTGAAGAAGTAGTGCAGGAATCCATGGAACTGAAAAGAATCAATATGAATTATCAGGAAGACTTGAGGTCACTTCAAAAGGAAAAGGCACAGTTGAAGAGGGAGCTGGAGGAATTGACAAGGACACAGACAGAAATTGAAATTACTCTTCAGCAGTTGCGTTCACAGATTGCATCTCTTCAACAAGAAAAAATGATAGCTGAACAGAGAACTATATCATGCAAAGGGGAAGCAAGCAACCTGCAGGAGCAGTTTAGAAAACTGCAGGAGCAATTGCTTCAAAAAACAAGAGAAGAAAAAGAGAGCCACCTGATTATTCAACGACTGAAAGATGACTTAGCCGACAGTAATCACTTGGTAGAAAAATTAAAGCAAAAGATGGAGGAGCTTACAAGGTGGAATAGTGAAACCAAACTTATGATGACTGAAGTGCACACTGAATCAGAGAGGATAGTTCTGGAGAGACAGATTATTGACAGGAAAAATGACGAATTAAAAGTTTTGGTTGATAGCTTCAAAGAGCAGCTCCGGGTTACAAATGAAGAGCTACACAAACAGATCATAATTGAGCAAGAGCACTTGGATAAAATCAAGAGATTAGAAGATGAGTTAGTCAATGCAAAAGATGTAATTAATGAGTATAAGCAGAAATGTGATAGGGATATCACTTATAACATGAATACCGAGATGGAGCTAAGAAACCTAAACACCCAGTTGAGTACATTCACTATGGAAATTAAAATGAATGAGCAGAAAATCCAGCAGCAACAAGCTCATATTCAAGAACTCAACAATAAGATAAAGAAGCTGCAAGATGATTTCCACCAGAAGACTTTAGACGAGCAAACGGCACGTAAAAAGATGGCATTGCTCCAGGAAGAGTCAATTAAGTATAAGCATTCTGCCGAAGAGTTTAAGAAGAAGTTTGATAAACTCTTGGAATCGCACAACATTGCTGAAAATGACATTTCAGGCATAAGGATGGAATGCATCACTTTACAGCAAGAGAAGCATATGGCTCAAGAAAACATCAGAATGTATCAGATTCAGATTGAAGATTTGCAGAACAGACTTCAAAAATGTCGTGATCAGTTACAACAAGGGAAACATGCAGAAATGGAACATTTGCAGAAATACCGCAAACTGGAAGAAGAATTCCTGATGCAGAAACGAACAATGGAACACTTGAAGCACCAAATAGATCTGCAGAAAAGAGAGCACTGCAATCAATTGCGTTTGTTTCAGAACGAGATCAGCAAAAAGAACATCCAGTTGGACTTTGGATTGAAAGGACTTGACTATGGTTACTTGGGAGATGCCTCTCTGAGAGATTTTGAACAACGTAAAGTGTGCACAAATACTTCTCCTTTATTAAGAAGACGGCAAACTGAGATAAGCAGCCCAGGTTGTAAATCTGAACAGCTACTAGCTCAGAAATTGCAAATGGTTTCTACTGATTCATTGTCACGAGAAAAGCCATTCCAGCTGTCTGGAATCTCACACTCTTTGGGAAGTGGAGTAAACCAACAGTCGTATTCGGAGTATGTTTCCCAAATGAGTACACAATTTGAAATCAGCATTGATAACAACAAACCTGCCACAAGATTATCAGAAATAGATAATTTGAGAGATGGCAAATTCCTCAGTTCACGACATGAAGAAAGTTATGAAATGGGATTAGGGAAACAACTGCATCCATTGGAGGTACACCATACAATTTGATATTTATGGCCTTCGTTGTCCTTTCTGCCTTTAAGTATTCTTTAGCACTTCTCTTTTCTTCTTCTGAAGGTTCTCCATTTATTTAAAAGATGGTATCAGATCTGTAGAAGAACATACTTATTTAGATGTACTTTACACCCATGTGTCTGGCTAACTATGCTAAACGTGTAGATGTTTTGTTATTGTAAAGATAAATATGCACAATTCAAATCCACATCTACATTATGAGATTTGCAACAACAAAAATCCCCCCCCTAAAAAAGTTTCTGTTCAGGATTTCCTACTAATCCCATCCCCACCCTTTTGCATGTTTTCCCTCTCTTCCTGTTGTCACTTCTATTGTGTGGCGTATTCACCCTTAACTAAACTTATATTTTTGTCCTTTTAGATTTCTTTAATACATTTTTTGTACATTTGTAAAAGATGACTTTCCTTTGGATACACCAATGCCCAGTTTTGGCTACAGTCCTACTATTATCGATCATGACACCTATCTAGTAGCTGGAGTAATGATCACCAGTTGCAATTTTTAAATTAAATGCACCAAAGCGTATTCTTTTTCTGTCCTTTTCTATGTTTCCATTCAGCTTTCCTGCTCATACAGCTTCTGTGTTGTCAGCACTAATAAACTGGCTGATATTGTTTGCTGTTTGTATTCTACATTCCTCCCTCCCACTTACTGTAATGATATGACGCTGCTTTCTAAATGTAACATCCTTCACTATATTAAAAAAAATTCCTGTTTACAGATAGCGAACAGCAAGCAGTATGGTGTACATGCTGAAGCTTCTACATTTAATCAAGAAAATGGCAAGACATTTGGTAATGAAGGAAGACTTCTTGAGGGATACAGAGCATCAGAAGGGTTTAGGAGTGAAGATATTTCAAAGATCAGTACTGCCTTAGAGGAGAAGCAAGCCAAGGAGATTCCTATTGAATATGATAAGATAAAATTTCAAGGCCTCCGAGAGGAAGTAAATGCCAGGCAGTTGATTGAAGTTAAACTTCTAGACTTGACAACAGCTGGACAGCTCCATTCAGGGAAGAAGGCAATTGCTGAGGTGCAAAAAGACCTTGAGATGTTTTTAACAAAGCCTACTGCAGTAGCTGGGCTGTATATAGAAGCTAGCAAAAACAAGATCTCACTTGCTTCTGCAGCTAAACAAAGAATAATTGATAAAACTTCAGCTCTAGCATTGTTAGAAGCCCAGGCTGCCACAGGTTTCATCATTGATCCCGTAACTGGTAAAACATTGTCAGTGGATGAATCCGTCATCAGCGGACTGGTAGATTATGAATGGAAAACTAGGCTTCTGGAGGCGGAAAAGGCAGTTTTAGGTTATCTGTTTTCTGGGAAAAAGCTGTCTGTTTACCAAGCAGTGGAAAGTAGAATCTTAGACAGGCAAAAGGGCAAAAACATTCTTGAGGCTCAGATTGCCACTGGGGGAGTCATTGATTCTATCAGAAGTGTCCGTATTCCTCCTCAGATTGCAGTCGAGCTAGGCTTGCTGAATAACACAATGTTCAAATATTTACACGAACCTTCCAGTAACAAAAAAAGCTTTGAGAATCCCAATAGCGGGCAAGCCATGTATTATAAAGACCTGCTGAAATTGTGTGTGCTCGATGTAGCCAGCCAATGCTTCCTGCTTCCGGTTGGGGAGAGGAAAACAAGCACTCCATCTGCAGAAAAGATTCATAAGGTATCTGTGGTTGATGTTAACACCGGTGTGGAAATGACTTCCTATGAGGCATATAAAAAGTCCCTGATAGACAAGAGTATGTACCTTGAGTTGTCTGGACAGGAGTTTCAGTGGAAAGAGTCCACGTGCTTTGATGCCAGTGGAAATTCTTACTTTGTTCTGACAGACCTGAAAACAGGGCTGCAGTTCAATATTGACGAGGCGTTAATTGCTGGCAAAATAGACAGAGTGTCAGTCAGTCAGTACAAGGAAGGGCATCTTACAGCTAGTGAGCTTGGTGACATTCTGTTGACCAATTCCAAGCCACGTACCGATCTCCATAGTCCCATTGCTGGGGTCTGGCTGCCTGAGACAAATGAAAGAATGTCTATTGCAAAAGCTTCACGCAAAAACCTGGTGGACAGGAACACTGCGCTGAGGTGTCTGGAGGCTCAAACCTGCACAGGAGGGGTAATTGATCCCTTGACTGGAAAGACGTACCCAGTGGCAGAAGCCTTGCAAAGGGAGTTGATTGATGAGGCGTGTGCTAAACACCTTCAGCAATGTGAACTGGTTTTCAGGGGCATTAAGCACCCTTTATCAAACAGTATTCTCTCGGTCACCGAAGCAATAAATAAAAACTTTCTAGACAAAGAAGTAGGCACTCGCTGCTTGGAATATCAGCATTTGACGGGCGGGTTGATAGATCCCAAATCTCATTCCAGGTTGTCAATGGAGGATGCCATCAAGAATGGCCTCATTGATGCTGTTACTGCCACAAAAACTCAAGATGATAAATTCTATGTAAAAAGCTTGATGTGCCCTAAGACCAAAAAGCAATTAACCTATCAGGAAGCTCTCCAGGGAGCTGTTTTTGACTGCTATACAGGGCTACGCTTGCTAGAAGCCTCAGAGACGATTTCCTCAGGTATATCAAGGCTTTATTATTCTACCCAGTAACTAAGCTAACACTGAGCAATCTTTTTTTTTTTTGACACAGAACTTTTATAGCAATAAACAGATTATTCTTAAGACTAAACAGGGAGAATACCCCACAATCACTAGCACTGATGACGTTACCTCGTTGGGTAGTTGAATGTTTTCAAGTTTACAACCAAGTTCAGAGACTCTGCACCAAGGATTTCACAGTTCAACCCTGAGTTACAGATAGTCTCTTCTGTTGGAACTAAGTTCCATTCTGTGGTAAGGGACAAACTGTCACATTTTAGAAATAATTCCCACTTATATGATTGTACAACATGGTGGAAGAGAAAAAAATCACTCGAACTCTAAACCTTGCAACACAGTTTGGCTTTGCTTATAAATGGTGGTTTGCATACTCTAAATCTAGTATTGCTCTGTGCTTGTAACCTTAGAACACAATAAAATTTAGATATTTCTATGTTTCATCGATTTCTGTGGAAAATTTAAATTCATGCTTAATTTTTCTCATAATGTAACTACTTCAGTTATGGTTGGATTGTGCTTCAGTTGCTGTTGTTTTGTATAAATAAAAATAGTTGCATATAGAAAGATGAATTATATTGATATGTTTCACTTCATTCTAATCTGGTTTCAGTTCCAGCTGAACTTTTTAATTTTTTTAAAACATAAATATATTCCATTGTAATCAAATCAGTGTATGTTATTAAAAATTGTGAATTTCAGGGTTTCAGTCAAAGTTGAGTAGAGTAGAGAGCTAAGTGTGTAGACACTTAAATGCTTATTTTCATAACAACCTCTGCCCGTTTTCAGAGAATAGTAAAACATGAAATTATACATTTGCAGGGGTTCATTGATTATATGAAAAAATAAAAAGGGTAGAACATGCAAATTTCTATTAAGCTGAGTCTGTCAAAGTAAGGTAGTACAATCTTAGGTACTTGATAATGAATTATATTCACTGAGGCCTCTATCTTAGTTTAAACAATTTAAGATTGGTCAGTCAAAAAATTTAAGGACAGTTTTATACTCCTATCAATTAAAATGATTTTTTTTCTCTTTATTTTGGCACTTGAGTCTTTACATTTCTTCTAATTGGAGCCTTAAATTATCACTGGAGATGGCTATACAATTGTCAAACTGGGGTTCCTGTCTGATGGATTAGTTATCGCCTGATGAATAAAAATTGTATGACATTTTGTCTGTGGGAAAAGGTTTTAGGTATTTTATATTAATGAAGTGTGGCAACCTGTTTAATTGCATGATATCAGGTGTGGATTTATAGCTAATGCAAAAGCTGCAGTTTAAAACGTTTCCCTTCCCATTGTTTGGGAGGACAATAATGGTTTCTCTCATACACATTGAATTAGCTCTGTATAAAAGAATGTGTTCATATGTATCATAATGACTATCTTATTTTTTAAAAAAAATATCTTCAAATAACTCAAGGTTGATATTTTTTTAAAAAATGTTAATCTTCCACACACACACCCCCTTAATTCATACATAATTATACATCAGCAACTGGGATAAAAATAAAATTTATTTAAGTCTGGCATTTTCTAACAATAAATTTCTTAATAGAGTAATTAGATTTGATCTGTACCTATTGTTTAACGTCTAGCCATTTTAAATATTTCTGTATTTGCAATGCCCATTGTTCATCAGAAATCAATGGAAGAGGAAAAGAAAGAACATGTTGAAAAAACTGGGGACTTACTGAAATGGGTTACAGAAATCACCAGGAGCCTCAGCAAAGACAGCGGAGAAAGGGCTGAAAAAACAGATTTTCTTAAGAAGCAGGTATTAAAACATTGCTTCAGTGTATATAATAAACAGTTGCATGGACCTGTAATGTTTGATTTTTGCATATCTGTGGTTCTAAGGAGTCAACTGTGGCTCATGCACATTATTTCATTTCTTCATACCAACAAGATTATTTGTATGCCCTACATCAGTCCCAATAACACTCTCCTTTGGCTTCAGATTTTTGTAAAATTTATATTCAACTATACTAGTATATAAATCTATACTAGATTTATAAATCACTTTTCTCAAAGAATAAACTTATAATGGTTCCGTAAGGTAATGAACATTTAGAGAATGTTTTCTTTACTTTCTACTTACCACTTGTGGATGTATGATTTTGGATATGGGCCATGAAGGCGCCTGCTCAATTCCAACTGGTATGTGGCAAGAGGCTGTGCTTAAAAAAACAACAACTAGAAACTACCTGGCATCGGGTACAGGGGATTATGACTGCTAAAATAACTTACTTCTCCAGAGTGTCAGGGCCAATCCTGTCAACCTAGTTGGGTGGTTTGTGGGAAGGTGGGGTTTTTTTTCTAAAAAAAAAAAAAAAGACGTGATTTTTTGGGTGTCTTACGTGGTTACACAAGCATCACCCCAAGTAGAGTCTGTTGGTCATGTGCATCATGGCCTTAGTAAAGAACAGTATATTTGAAAGTACATGCAATCCATGATATTTTCATAGGGCCAATAAATGATAAGAAGCACATATCTAATATTACTGATTTCTGTTGCATAACCTCAGAAGAGTCAACCTTCATATTTAGCAGAGTGAACCCACTTCTTCTGATTTATTCAGCAACATCTGGGTAAAAAAATCATAGTATAGTATGTTGTGTAAACTTGGCTAAAATCCCTTCCAGTTAAATTTATACTAAATTAAAATATCCTCCTTTTGTTAAAATTTAAAATGTTTACCTATACATAAGTTGAACTTATTAATTCTACGTTTCCCCCAGAAAATAGTTCTCGATCAAGAAGGAAGCATTATAGATACATTTTTTACTAGATACACTTGCAGATTTTTGCATGAGTAGAAGACTTTTAACTAGTTTCTATCCATTCAGTGAATATTGCTGTAACAGGCATATTTTATAGATTTGGATTCAAATAAAATCTTATCAGTTATAGTCAGAAGAAAGTAAGCCTGATATTTTTCTTTTGAGAAATCCAAAACAATATACTTATGTAATCATGAATATTCATTGTAATTAAAGAGATGATTATTTGTTTTGTGTGGCTACTTCCCCTGTTGATTTTTCCCTTCAGAATATATTGAATCGATATGATAGCAAGGGATATTCATTGTACGCCAAACAGCAGACTCTTCAGGGCAGACTTGACGGAATTAACGACCAGGAGAACATTTTTATATTTATACTCATATCTTAATTTCAAAATATGGTTCAGTACTTGACAGCATTCAGGGAAACAAAAGAAAAGAAAATAGCTTTTACAAAACATGGCTCTTCCCCATTGTCGCTATGGGCAATCCAAAGAGTCTATTTTAGTGCCTTTATTAGTTCATCTGGATCATTCGGACAGTCACTTTTTAGAAGCTAGAAAAGTGTAACTAATGAACAAGGATATCCCTTTGCTCTTCTGCCCCTTCTTTCAGATGGACTGTCTCCCAGCTTTCTGAAGTAAATGCTATGATGTACAGGGATAAAGATAGTAAAAATCTAATCTCCTGACAGAATGTCATCTACGAAGAAATACTTTCAACAATAATAAGGATTGTGGATGGCTGTGGGTTGTTTTACCCTGTATTTAACATTATTAGGTCTTTTGGTAGAGCTGTTAGGCTATGTAAGAAAAATATTTGGAACCACAGCAAGTATTCCTTCAGTATATATTTTATGATTGCTGTAGGCACCTAATGGATAGTGTCCATCCACAATGAATAAAATATTCCACTTAGTGCTCAGAGCAATTTGGCAATTACTGTAATCATTTTAAATTAATTTGAACCCTTGAAAAACTTACGAACTGCATAAGCTTTCAACTGTACTGAGACTGCACCTCATCTAATGTTTTGCTTCTGACAGTTATATTAGACAAAAGCGAATTAAAGATAAGAAGGCTCGAGAGTTATCAAATAAAAATCCAGTCGTTCCGAACTACAAGTTCTTCTATCTCATGTTAATGTTCTTCTTCTCTTTCATTCGTTTTCAAGCTATCAGTGATATGTCCAAGGTAGGCTCATAGGAGCAATGAAGTGAAAATTCCAGCAGGAAAGAATATGTGAACCCCAAAGGGAAAGTTGCAGATTGTTCTTCAAAAAGAGTTTCTACTAACATGTCAGAGGCCTGAAGGTGTTTGATGATTACATCTTCTTTGACTTGGCTCCAGTCCATCTTGGGGCGAGATTTGTTGCTGTTCGATCTTTGTTCGTAACTAAGATGAACTGATGATTGATATAATTTAGAACCCTTGACTTAGAATCAGTCATAAATGAAATATCGGAATCCTAATTTGTCATAATAATGCCAGCACCCCACCTCTCCCAAACAAATGCATTATATTCCTCCAGTTAATTTAAAAAACCAAAACTAGAAATAAGCTTTTGATATGCATAATTAACTTCTACGTTTTGGCCTCTGTTCCCAAGAAAAAAAGATGCAAGAATGCAGTCTTAGTACATCTCTGAGAGGTTTATTTTTGTATGTGTATATGTGTGTCTATGCATACGCACACAGCATGATCTGGCTTGTTGAGAAGTGAGAAATTAAGGACAAAGCAGGCATGGCAATATATAGTGTATTATCAAAATGCCAATATGCTCCAAATACATACCTTTTTATACTTAATCTTGTAATATTTTCTATTGCTTAAAGTACATTTTTAAACCTATTACTAGAGCATTGTGGATACTTGAATGCACTTTCTTATTTTTCAGATTTCTTCTGATGAATTATCATCCAAGAAAGAACAGCTATCAGAGGCTTTGCAAGGAACACAGATATTTTTAGCCAAACATGGTGACAAGTATGTTACGTGTGATTATCTTATTTTGAAATTTAATGATGGTATTTCAACTTTTGTTAACAGCGTTTAGTCTTTTGATATGTCGAATCATGTATAGTTTCTGGAACTTAAGAAAAGGAGTCTGAATTAATTTTAGAAGGAACTTTTTAGAAGGAACTTTTTTCTGTCCCAAAGGTGCTTTTTCAAAAAGCAACTGGACTTTCTGGGGTTTTTTTTTTCTTTCTTGAAAACGTTTTGCTTCTCATCCAAGAAGCTCCTTCAGGACCTGGACGATTGAGAATCTTCGTAGACACTTCGATTTTCCTCTTGCTGACACCTGCTTATTATTAAAAGGGAAGCAAAATGTTCTAATGACTATGATGTAATTGTATAGCTTGTCTACTTTTTGGCAACCCTCCTGTTTATAAAATTCCCCTGATCCTAATTACATTACACCCATAAATTGTGATCTTAATAGCATATCTTAGATTTAATCTTCAATCTGTTCAAAACTTAGAATAATGGGAATTATAATTTACTACGTGGTACATCGGTCTTTCTGTCAAATACAATTTCCGATGAATCCAGCTTCAGTCATTCTCATCTTTCCTCGAAGAAGCAGGAAGATTTTCTCTTCATCGTATTGGAAGCTGTCAGCTGGCTTTAATGACAATTTTTTAAAGTTAGTTTTATGCAGTCTGTTCTGTATCTTCTTTGGCAAATGGTTCTAAATATATAATTAGAAAGTGGCTGTGTCATGGCTATGGCTATTTGTAGCTGCTTGGGAAGAATAATAAAATATACTGGTTTCTCCAAACAAGTTAAATGATATTTAGGTGAAGTGTTGCTATGGAATTGCGTGAATAATCACTCCGTCCCCAAATACCAAGTTTGCAGTCTTCAGCATGATATTCACTACTTTTTGTTTTTGTAAATAATATTTCAGGCTTAGATTATCCACGAAATTTTGCTGTTCACCCGTGAAAGCACTGCATAGTAGAAAATACAGTTTGTACATTGAATGCAAAGTCTCATTTAGGAAGAAAGGTTACAAATGAAGTGAATAATCCAGATCAAATTACTCACCATCATTTTCACAGCCACAAGCTAGACAATTACATATGCAGCTGTATTATTTCTAAAATTTATTTTTGAATCCTGTAATTATTTCTTCTGTGAGGTTTTATTTATTGACATAAAGTGGTCTTAGTTCTTGCTGTAATGAAAACTGTATTTATGTAGCAGTACTAATGTGTTAAAACAGGCTAACATGTAGTCTAAAGTCTTCTAAATAGCTGCTTTTAAAAAGCAGAATAGTTAAATAGGATTTGTTCTGGTTGATGAATAGTTTTATTCTGTTGCTTATGGAAAGAGGAATGTTGTTATGAACTACCCTAGTGCTCAGGTTGCTAGTAGGCCAAGATTTATCAGAATCATGCCTTTTTATTCTAGGTTATTGCAGTCTATTTCTGAAAATCATATCTGTATCTATGATTTGTTTCATAGAATGACAAATGAGGAGAAAAATGAAATGGAAAATCATATAAAGTCCTTGCAAGAGTGTTCCAAACTCTTATCCAATGAAGGTTTGATACAGTTGGAGGAGGAAAGAAATATAGATGAAAAAATGGATGCAAAGGTAGCCTAAAACCTATATAATATTACTGATGATCGTGTGCGGTCTAAATTTTACTTATTGCATGGATATAGAACTGTTAATACTGTTTTTTTTTAAAAAAAAATCCTGCATTGTTATATGCATCAGACAAAATAAGGACTAAATGAGAATTTTCAGAATTTTTGTGTAATAATTATAACTGAATGTGTAGGAAAAATATAGTCATGCGTATATGATTAAATCTTTAAAACTGTGTCTTGCATGGAACTAAGAATTAAAAAAAAATCATACATCACTTACCTTTCTTTTTAAAAACCCATCTTTTACAAATTCTATTTTTCAGAATCCTGACACCCTACAAAAATTTGATAGATTATACTTCGTGCTTTGTATATTTATTTCAAAAGTTGATTAAATTTCAGCTGGTTACATGCTTTTGAAAGGGCATTCTCACTAACTGTGAGATAATACCTTAATAATACCTACCATGATCTATAAAAAGTATTACAAAATCTCAGTTAATACATAAAATATATAAATATATTTAATATATGAAAACATATTTTTCACATGTATCTTCAATGTTTCTAATTGATGATTTTCGATGCAAACCAGTTGCAATGCATTTAGGTGGTTAGAGTGGTGTCGACATAAAAGTGCTGTATGCTGTAAACATGAGTAGCATGACTATTGGTATCACTATTTTCTGAATATCCTTAACTTCTCACCAACCACATAGATGGCATGACAGTTTGTCTTCCAGGAACGTGTCTTTTTCACTCACTATATGATCATTGGCTCTTGTATTCCACTAACCTTGTTGATGTGTGCAGAACATAGACTTTTGGTGCATGCCGTGTCTCAATCTTGTATCACACCATGTGCAGTTGAATCACTGACATAGATCATTTCTGCATTGACTTGCTAACATTCACAGTCTTGCTCCAAGTCTGGTAAGTAAATGACTTATTGCCATCTACAGATAAGTATTTAAATTCAGAGATTTCCTGTTTTAATATTTATTGGATACTGAAAAAAAATGTATTTTTATGTTCTTAGGTGGACAGAGTCATAGCTGGCATCATTGATCAGACTACCGGAGATACGTTTTCAGTCTTCCAGGCAATTTATAAAGGCCTTATTGACTATGACACTGGAATCCAATTACTTCAGAGGCAGATCATTTTGTCTGGTTTAATGTCACCTACCTTAGGAGAGAATTTTGATCTTGAACAAGCAAAGACCCTTAAACTTGTTGATGAACAAGTTGCGTTGGAACTACAAGGTTTGCAGAACGCTAAGAAGGTTATTTCGCAACTGAGTGCAGCCCCAATCCCGGTTGTGAGTGCTTTGGAGCAAGGAATCATTTCAGAATCTCTGGCTGTTAAAATTCTTGAAATCCAGCTTTCTGGAGGATATCTAAAAATAGCAGGCACAGAAGAACCGCTAACTTTGCACAAAGCTTTCCAAAAGAACCTGATTTCTGGAGCGCTATATACTATGCTTCTAGAAAGCCAGGACGCATCTAGAGACCTTATTGACCCCAGTACTGCAGAAAAGTTATCCTTTGAGGAATTGTTTGAAAGAACTGTAGCACACAAAGAAACAGGCTTAAGGTTTTTACCAGTGGCTCTTCAAGAAAGAGGCAAAATAACGCTGACATGTGGAAGGAAAATAACTCTTATGAGGGCAGCTCATGAAGGACTCATAGAGAAGGAGACTATGTTCAGGCTGTTAGATGCTCAGCTACTTTCTGGAGGCATAATTAATCCCAATTCAGATCACAGGATGACTGTTGAAGAAGCAATGAGAGAAGGAGTTATAGATCACGATACTGCCTGTGCCCTTTTGACTCGTCAAGTTCAGACAGGTGGAATCCTATCACCAAACTCCCCAAAACGTTTGACTATAGATGAAGCTGTGCAGTGCAACCTGATCTCTTCCACTTGTGCCTTGCTGGTATTAGAGGCACAGCAAGGTTTTATAGGACTCATTTGGCCACATAGTGGTGAAATATTCCCCGTATCTATATCTTTGCATCAAGGCATGATTTCTAATGAACTGGCCTGCAAAATTCTAGATGGGAGGCAAAAAATAGCTGCGCTATATATTCCAGAAACGTCGGAGGTAATCAGCCTAAGTAATGCAGCCCAGCAAGGAATTATAGATAGTAACATTTTATCCATTTTGAGCAATATTACACTTCCTGATGAATTGCTGAATGTGGATAATGTGCCATTCCCTTTGAAAAGGGCTGTAAGATGTCTGTCGTTTTGTGAATTCCACCCATCTCCAGAGAGTGATCAAAGAAAGGACATTGAGCATCTGAACACCGGCAAGCCCATAAGTCACCACTCGCAACAGAATCAAAAGCTATTCATGTCTTACCTAATGATAAACAGTTATATAGATGCAAATACAGGGCAGAGGCTTTTGTTGCATTGTGGTGACTTAAATGAAGTTGTCAGTTTGTTAATGAGTGACAAGAACTCTGAATGCATTACAGTTGGAACTGAAGATCAATTTTGTGAATCTTCTGCAAATAGGGAAGGTTCAGATCTTGAGCAACTGCCTAAAAATGTATTACTTAGCTTTGTTACTGGCAGTGCCTTAGGTCAAGACACAAGTATCCAAAGTATGCTTAGCAACAATAACAAGGAATTTCAAGAAGCTCCCCAGAAATTAGTTAACCAATCTTGTGCTAAAACTGATGAGGCAAAAGAATCCCTTGATAAGCATTTGCTAGAAAATCATCTTTTAAGCAGAAATGAAGTTGGTATTTGCACGATAAACAGGGGAAATGAGAGTGGCCATGAAAATCTTTTAGGTAAACTAGATAATGTTTTGGATGCAAATAATCTTTCAGCATTTACTAATGAAAGAGAAGTACCAAACAGCACCTGGGAATGTCTACCTCATGTTCTGCTGGATAATGAAGAAAGTATATTAATAAAAGATGCAGAAAAAGTTAATTTCCAGGAGAGTTTACTTGCCACTCTGAAAACCGGACATAAATCTTTAAAAGATCTTACTCAGAAAGAATTAGGGGTTTGTAATGAAGAAGGGATATTACAGTCAGATATTAACATCATTGCTGCATCCCATAGTCGTATTAATAGTTACAGAGTATCTCCTTTGGAACCTAGAGAGCCTACTCCTGATAACCTATTAGATACTAGTAGTTGTATGACTAGCCATTGGACATCTGTGAAGGAAAATATTTTTTCTAAGGATGATCCACCTCTGAAAGACAACATCACCTTGATCAATCAGGAACAGATTACAACTGAAAGAAATGAATCTCTGGAGAGCAATATTAATATCAAAGACAAACCTGTAAATGAGAGTAGCATAGATAGTAGAACTTTGCATGATTATTGTACTAAATCTTACAGAGTTCCACCATCGGAATGTGACATTACATCCATTGACCCCTTTCAGATAGATCGTATTGTCACTCATATTGGCCTTCCAGTGGAAGGCAATATTGGTACAGATTTGGCAGGAATCAGTTCTGGATTTCTTGATGGGTCACCTATCAGTAGAGATAACCAGCTTAGATTACTTAATGAGCCATCCTTGAATAATAATAGGTTACTTCTAGAAGGCAGCAATAGTAAGCCTTGTGAAACATGGGATGAAAGAAAATGTATCACTCCACATTTGGAAAATAGTAACAAATACAGAGATAGTCAAGGCCTTTGTGACATAGCTCAGCATAAAGAAGGCAGCATGCATAATTATCATGATGATGATATTGTTGATAATATGGCCAAAGTTGATAAGGGTAGGTCCTCTACAGATAAGGGAACTATTATTTCAGAAGGCAGTGACAATGTACTGTGTATTGCTGTAGATAAGCCAACAGAAGAAGCATCAACATACCTTTTGCATAATAAAGAGGAGAGTTTTCTAGGCTTTGGTCATTTGGATAATGATGATACACTTGAGACTGTGACTAAGAAGCCATTCAGTGAAGGCCCTGTTCAAGAAGAGAAGGGAGAAGGGACTGGAAATGTAGACAAGGGATGGAGGGAAAGAGAAAGAGATGAGGTTTTCACTTCCCTGAGAAAATTGGATGAAGCTGAAATAAAAAGAGATAGGCAAGAGCACAGTAGTACTGAAGAAGAATATTATTCTGATGAAACCGGACAAGAAAGCATTTCTGCAGATAATAACTTGGGTAATAAGGATAATGAAAGTGAAGATGACTTTGATAGTTATGATTATGTAGATTTTGATTATTATACATCTGATGAGACCGATTATGAGAACGAGGAAGTGATGGAAATGCACTACTCACAGTGTCAGGGTATAAGTGCTGACAGCCAGTGTTCAGGAGACGAGAGAGAGCAGTTTCAACAGAAGACAGAAGACAACATTACTTGTCATGACTGCAACTTGCAAGTAGAGTTGAAAAATGGGAATTTTAAAAGAAACATTGTTGATGATTGTCAAAATATAACAAATGATAAAAGTAAAGAGGAAAGCCAGAAAGATGCTGAAAAGGTTTCGGCGGAGAATGCCCCTGGAACAAAAGATGCTCAGGCTGACCCAGATGTTGTTCTTCAAAACACCTCGCCCTCTGAGCACAACAAGGCTATCGGGCATGATGTAAAAGCAGTGTCATTACTGAGTTGTAAGAAAAGTCACGGAGTAAATGATGGACAATTAACACAAGATATCATGGGTGATGTAAAACAGAATAAAAATGGAGTATGCCTTCTGCAGGGAGAGAGTATCCGGGAGTCAGATGGAAGCTTGACAAAGAATTGTCCATTGGGCGTTAAAAACACTTACGAAACTATTCCCTCATGTCAGGAGAAAGCAAGTCTTGATCCGTTTTCAAATGAAGCTAAATCCCATCTACAACCTAGTTGCTTTGCCGCAGACGTAACTATTGACCGTGATGAGGAAGTTGAAGTGGTTGACCTTTCTACTTACTTAAAGCAGTGTGCACAAAATATCAAGACCAAGGATATCCTTCCACTGAGACAAAGAGTTTCATCCGAGGTCGTGGAACTTGAAAGAGGCAATAAAGAGAATGGAATGGAAGCTGTAAAAACCCAAACAAAACGGCATTCCGAAGAACCGAATTTCCAGATTCTGACATCAGATACACCAGATCCTATCCAAATGAGTGACACTAAAGAAAGAGAAGGACATTCCAAATTGTATCATGAAAAACTCCAGTCTGAGAGCTTTGATATTATGGAAGATAAAACTGCTGAAGACGTAATTAACAAGGTTGGAATGGGTTGTAAGGAATGTTTGCAAACAGCGGGCTCCTTTTTTGATACTTTAGGCACTATGGGTAACAGCTGGCCTAGTACAAAACAGAATATGCATGAAATACTTGTTAATCGCAGTACTGAAAGAAATGATGAGGTAGAGGAAGATAACAATTCTACTTTCTTACAAAAAGCCACCAAGAAAAATGTGCAATTATCACAAAAAGGAGCACATCTGTCTGATTTTCCTCTAGTAGAGGATCAGAACATACTCTTGTCTAATGTCCCTGCTACATTGCATGAAACCTTACCAAACATACTTAAAAACAGAATAGAAGATTTCTGCATTCACTACAAGCAGGAAGATAACTCTTTAAGTTATACTGGCACAAGGGCTTTAATGCAAAATGTATTTAAAACAGTTGATCATATGCATCAGGGACAGTCGAATCAGTCTGATAACAAAGATGAAAACTCTGTTGCCGAAACAGCCATTCTGGTCAATCCATTTTGCATCAGTGCAAATGAACACAATCCTCCCCCAGATGTTTGGCTTGATAATAGCAGTCCTGATCTCCTCCTTGATATACTGAAGCAAGATAATTCTAATCATAAAAATAATGACAAACATGGAGTCATCAGCGACAAAGACCAGACTGAAAAGAATCAGGTGAAAATAGTTTCTCAGCTTGATCAATTATTTCCAAACCCAGATGGAGCTAAAGATGCATCAGAATTAAAATCAATTGCCTGCTCAAAGAATCCAGCTCTGAGCAGTAACACTCTTGTTTTGGAAACAAATCGGTCTAAGGAAAAATACCATTCAGGAGAATACTTTTGTGATCATGCCTTGGAAATGAGGGAATCTTTTCCAGGATCTGTGGCAATGAGCATGGTGAGTAGCAACTTTTACACTGTTGTATTTATGTTTTGTTTCTTTGAGTGGCTGTACCATTTCATCAAACACGTCTGAACGGTAGGGAAATTGCTTTAAATTCCCTGTAAAGAAACATAAATGTTTTCTAGTTATTGGTATTGTAGGATCACTGGTAAAAAATTTTAATTTGATCCTCCAGGCTTATTTTAAAGTATAGTTATTAAGAATTGGTTTTAATGTGAATAATAATAAATGCAGATGAACTGCTTTTATAAATAGTTTGGCTAAAATGACCTGTTGTTCAATAATGCTTCCAGTTACCCAGTGCTCTGCAGCCCTTTTCTTGGCACACGGAGAACCTGAGAAGGCACTTGATAATGGTCCAAGATATGAAATTTCTCTTAGATGATCTGCAGCCCATCAGTAATGACTTGGAAGCTCTAAAAGTACAACTTGAACAATTAGAGGTAAATTATTGATTTTCATAGAAAGTAGGATTAGTATAGAAATGTTTATTTATTTAACAAATGTATATGGCTTACAAGATCCAGACTTACATGTCTGAGATAGGATTTCAATCCAGGTCTCCCCTATTTGAATTCAGTGTTTATGCGCTATATCATTTGCATGTAAAGAAAGGTTAATATGTAAAGTTACAATTTGTAGTAAGAGTAGTGGTAATATTACACAGGAGTCGATTTCATTATTCTTTTTTCTGATATGCAATACCTGATAGAATATAATTCATTCTGACTAATAGAATGAAAAGTAGAATTCGTCTGTTTTTATTCTCATTTCGTGCTACTATATTATACTTTATTTTTTTATACATATAGGCATTTGAATCAGGACTTGCTAGGTTTGCTGTCACTTTGCAAAAAGATATGAAGTTGGCAGAAGGCTTTCTGAAATTACAGTCCAGAGGTGTTCCTGCACAGCAGCTGGAAGATCTAAAAGAAAGCTATAAATGCTTAGAGAAGGAATTCTCTGCGGTCTGTGAAATGTCTTCAAACCGAGCAAAGCAAATAGCCTTTGCTGTAGACTCTGAAATTGTGGGTTCATGTTCCATATTTTGCTTACTTGAATAGATCATTTAAAAAAAAAATTCACACCAATACAAAGTTACGGTCTGGTACATAACCTTAAAATAATCCCCAATTTAAAATATAATACAATAAAACCATGTGAAATATTTGATGACGAATGTATGATTTGATATTATCTTGCTTTTAAATTCAGGTACAGGTAGTCCTCAACTTATGACCACAGTTGAGCCCAACATTTCTGTTGCTGAGCAAGACAGTTGTTAAATGAATTTGGCAAGATTTTTACGACCTTTCTTCCCACAGTTCTTAAGTGAATTACTGCACCTCTTAAATTAGTAACACGGTTGTTAAGTGAATCTGGCTTCCCCATTGACTTTGCTTGTCAGAAGATCACAAAAGGTCATCACCTGGTCCCAGGACATGACAATCGTCATAACTCTGAGTCAGTTGCCAAGTGTCTGAATTTTTGGTCACCTTACCATGAGGATGCTGCAATAGTCATAAGTGTGAAAAACGGCCATAAGTCACTTTTTTCAGTGCCTTTGTAACTTTGAATGGTCACTAGGTGAACTGTTGTAAGTCGAGGACTACCAGTATTTTATCCCTTTCATCTCTTTTTTATTTCTTCCAATCCTCTCCAACCTGTATCCCCTTGATTCCTCTCACATCAAAAAAAGATTTATTTAAAAGCTCGGTTGTGTATAGAGGGAAGAACGTTATGCATTGGAAGGATAGGCCTGATAGTTTCTGCATTGATAACATAAAATGACTTTTGCAGATCAGAGTAAGAGTAATTTTGTTTTGCTTTGGCTTGCTATAATCTAAGAATGCTCTGGTTTCTTTTTAAGTCTGATAAAACTTAGCAAAATATATGTTTTAAACACTTATATATATATATATATATATATTAGGGCAGTGGTGGCGAACCTATGGCATGGGTGCCAGAGGCGGCACTCAGAGCCCTCTCTGTGGGCACACGCGCTGTCGCCCCAGTCCTAGGCCTTCAGCTGGTTTTTATAAAACCTTTTGGCTTTAGGCCTCCGCCGCCATGTACAAAAAAAAAAGGTTCAATCAATCAGTCAATTTCAACTTCTCGCGGGGAAAAAAAGATCTTGCAAAGTTGGAATTGATTGATTGAACTTTTTAGTCCCACCCAGTCTGCTGTTACCACCGCAGCCACGCCCACCCAATGGGCCACGCCCACCAGGCACCCGACGATGCATAAGTGGGTTTTGGGTTGCAGTTTGGGCACTCAGTCTCTAAAAGGTTCGCCATTACTGTTTTAGGGCAAGCTTGCTGTGTTGCATCAGGAACTTTTAGTTAGTCTTCAAGAGTTCACAGATTGGATCGTTGAAAAGAGTGAAACGATGAATAATTTGAAGACGGTGAATGTTTGTGATGTGGAAGATGTGAAGCAAAGGCTTCAGTTAGCCAAGGCAAGTATCTGCTATTATTTATTAAATTTATTTGCCGCCATCTCGTCACAAGGTGAGTCTAAACACTTACCAATTGATAGTTAATGATAATTACATATATTTCCAGAGAGTGATGTTTTATGGGGAGGATGGGGATGGATAGAAAAAAAAAACATTAGACCATTGTGATATAAGCCCCATTATTTTTGTACCTATGTTGCGGCATCAAACACACATAAAAAGGGTGGAGCTTAAGGCACAAAAGCAGCAAGTTCCCTCTGCTCCCAGTCATGAGACATTGGAAATGATGTTAACTTGGAATCACTCTCATTTACCAATAATCCAGATTAGCAATTTCCTGAATCAGTTACTCTGCATATGTTGTATACAGTAGGTGACATACCAACAATTGCACTAAATTATTACAGTAGCTGTAAAGCTCCAGAGTAGAAAGTAACTTATACAATTCATTGTAGGACCAAACGTTCACTTCTACAAATACTAAGGATATCATTTAATAAATTATTACTCATATATTTTCCATATGTTTCTTTTTAGAATAAAGTAGCTACAGCTTTAACATAGCTATAACTTCATTACTATGATTCTAAAATCTTTAAATTGAATATTAAGATCAAAGATAAATACAATAGATTTGAAGTATCAGTTTTCACCAGAGTTGCACAAGGTTTTTGGACTCCATGGTAAGTGTCAACAGATAATAGAAGAAATATGATTCTAATTTTATAACTTTAATATTTTTATGGCAATAAATGCTCCTGATATACCAATTGTTTTTCTTATATAACTCTGATTCCAGAATGTTTAATCAGTCTTCTCCAAACAGGTACCTTCCAGGTGAATTGGACCCACAACCTGATTATCATAAAACATAGCCTGTATTGCCTAAAGATGATAGGAGTTGTAATTTATCACATCTGGGCAGCAGTAGATTTGGATAAATTATTCTAGATAACTTTATGAACAAAATAAAATTTGAAACAAGTTCAGAAACATTTTTAACAATACTGGTTTTCTAATTCCTGATAATGTTGTTTAGAATATTATCTGGCTTTTTTTTTTTTTTTGCTTAATTTGCAGGACCAAGAAAAAGAGCTTGGATGTAGAAAAATGCAATTGGAATCTACAGCATTTGATATTCAGTTCTTCATTTCTGAACATGCCCAAGATCTGTCCCCAAATCAAAGCAAACAACTGTTGAGGCTATTAAATTCTACACAACGACACTTCCAGGAAATGCAAGAAAAAATAAGATCTCAAGTGGATCATTTTGAATCTCTCTTACAAACAGCTCAAGTTCTTATTGATCAGCAGGTTTGCTTTTCTCCCTGGCCTTGTGCTTGCTATATTACTAGATAGAAAAAGCAGCAAGGTGCCACCTGAACTCTGAAGCTATTGAACAACTGTGTTTATCCTTCAAGATTCTAGAGAGGCATTATCAACAGTTAGTTTAATGATCATTTACCCCTTCATAATAATAATTTTTACCAGAACTCACACACGTCATACAACCCGCCTTTACCCTACAGAGTTCCATCCAAAAAAGGTGCCGGAACTCAGTTCTGGGCGTTCTATGACAAAAAAAGCCCCGATTTTTACAATGTCAGAACATTTTGGCTTCCAAAAGTAGTAGGAAGTAACCTTTCAGTTAAGATTTTTTTCCCCTTAAAAATGAAACTTAAAAAGCAACCGTAATACAGAAAGGGTGAGTTCTAAGTTGGAATGAAGGTTTAAGTGTGTAGAAAAAAGGGGAGTTTGGTGATTCAATCCTACTCCTTCCTGTCAAGTACAGCCAAACCCATCAGTTTCTTTGTATGTGGGAAAACCATTGTGTAGCTTAGTAATTTCCATGGTCTTTCATGGGTGAAATAATATGTTGTTGGGATCATGTTTTATATCCAAAGATGCCTACCTAGAGATTCCATCAACTAGTATATGAAAAATAAAGACTTTGGTCAGAAGACTTGTTCAGAATGGAGCTAATAGAAAAGGCAATAACTCCAACTAGATTCAAGAGATATTGCTTAAGGGCCGGGAGTGGAAGTCTTCATATTAGAAAGGCTAATACTTTATTAAAATAACACAGATAAAAAAAATACATAGAATGGGATGATGGGATAAGTGAGCCAATGAATCTTATTGCACGTGTGCTTCTGTATTGTTTAAAATACATACATAATCTCAGTGCTGATAACATTGACATGTACCAACTATCTAACACATAGTTTTCAACTAACATTGGTTTTGACATCCTTGTTTTAGAATTAATGCTTGTGTGTTACAGATTTTGAACAAGACAGAAATTTGGATTTTCACACGCCTAATGCATGGCCAGACTTCTGCTGGGCGATTCCATCTCAAACTGGTCTCTTTACTTACAGCATTTGTGAGGTTTATCCATACCTTTTATATTCCATTTCTTTAAACTGTGTGCAACTGCTATCATGTTTACAGCATACTTTCAGAAACAATTTCTAATGAAAGCTTTGCAACGTGTTTGCTTGAAAATTAACTTACACAACAACTTTTGTGTGCCTTTATGCAGCTTTGTTCTTATTCCAAAACAGGATTTGATGGATCAGCATGAGGAATTCCAAGAAAAATTACAGGATATATGCGATCTACTCACACAGACAGAAAATCAGATCATCGGCCACAAAGAGGCCCTTGTGATTGAAGATAGCAAGACTGAATTACAGCAATACCAAACCAGGCAACAGGTAAATTATTGCGTATCAACAACACACTAAACAGTTTGGATTTCACCAAGGGTCAGTTTGCACTGAGTGGAATCACTTCTCATGTTTAACCATGGTTTTAGCCAGGGCTTTTTTTCAGCCGGAACGCGGCGGAACCGCGTTCCGGCACCTTTTTCCGGGCCGGCCGCACCGGAAATAGCCCCTCCCACACCGGAAATAGCCCCTCCCACACCGGAAATAGCCCCTCCCAAATTTTACTTGCATTCCTGTTCTCTAAAGGGGCGGTCCTAGGGTTTGATGAGGGCGTGGCCAGGTTTGAGTTCCACCACCTTTTCTCCGAGAAAAAAAGCCCTGGTTTTAGCTTATTGGGAAAACCAAGACGTTGTGAGTGCAAACCATGGATTATTGCTAAACCTGTGACATAAGCCCCAAATTGATGCATTATTCAGCAGATTCTCATTGAAACAAACAGTCTGTACTGAGAAAGTCAGGGATTTAGGAGTTAAAACAGGTGCCTTTAATCTTCCAAAAGGTTTAAAGTTTCTATTTTCCCCAATAAATCTCCCAAAATGTTTCCAAAATTCGAGAAAAAGGGAAGGAAATGGAATAGAGTTGTCCTGTGGTTAAATAATGGTTTCCTGATTTGTATTACTGTTGCCATTCTTCAAGGAATTACAGAAAAATATGCAAGCAAATACACAGGCCTTGGCAGAAATTGTGAAAGATACAGAAATGTTCTTGAAAGAGAATGGGGAAAAGCTGCCGTTGGAAGACAAGACTGCTCTTGAGAGGAAACTGAATGAAGCGAAGACCAAGTGTTTGCTGCTAAGCCAGAAGGCAGAGGAATCCAGAAAAGAGCTGGATAAAGCTGTGACAACCGCTATTAAACAAGAAACAGAAAAGGTTCTTTGGCAAATATTTACTTTTCCTTTCAAAATGATTTATTTTCATAATTTTCCCTGGTGTGTACTTGCTGATATGATTGAGAGATTTCAAAAAAATCATTTGACAACTGAAAGAGTTGATCATCATCATTCATTCACGTATGCATATGTTTTCATTTATTCATCAAACATACCTAGATTTATAAACATATCCATTTATAAATATATTCATCAAACTACAGTTTAAAAAGAAATCCCAAACCATTCCAGAAAGCTTAGAAGCGGTGTAGTTCCACCACCCGTCCTTAGAGTAGGGGCTTTTCTAAACATAATAACTTTCCAGTGATTGTCTTGATTTTTCTAAGAATGGGATAAAGCAATTAACATTCCATGGGTATTTACAAGTAACCAAATGCTCCTAAAAACAAATGATGCTCTCTTAACAACCACTTGCTCACTAGTTGAATTTATGATGGTGCTGAACAAGTGATACTTAAGACTTCGGCAACATCAGTACATGATCAGTACATGATTGCGAACCAGATGCTCGGCAACCTGCTTGCAATTAAAACATTGCAATATCCCATAGTCCAGTGATGGCGAACCTTTTAGAGACCGAGTTCCCAAACTGCAACCCAAAACCCATTTATGCATTGTCAGCTGCCGGGTGGGTATGGCCCATTGGCTGGGCGTGGCCGCGGTGGTAACGGCAGACTGGGTGGGACTAAAAAGTTCAATCAATCAATTCCAACTTTGCAAGATCTTTTTTTTCCCCGTGAGAAGTTGAAATTGATTGAACCTTTTTTTTTTTTTTGCACACGGTGGCGGAGGCCTAAAGCGAAAAGGTTTTATAAAACCCAGCTGAAGGCCTAGGACTGGGGCGACGGCACGCGTGCCCACAGAGAGGGCTCTGAGTGCCGCCTGTGGCACCTGTGCCATAGGTTCGCCACCACTGCCATAGTCACATGATCACCATTGTGAGACCTTCACTGCTGGCATCAGACAAGCAAAGTCGATGGGGAGGCTGGCAGGAGGTTGCAAATGGTGAACACATTGGCATTGCACCTAATGATGGCACAGAATTTGCTGCATGACAGCAACTGAAAGTACCAGAACTGCTGCCACTAAGCACCTTGGTTATGCAGCAGTGTTGGAAATTCCAGTCCCAATTACCATTGTTAAGTGAGGACGACTGCTTTCTATTGCTATTGCTGTTGTTATCCAAATAACCTGGCTGTTGCTGTGGTATCCAAGTAATCTGGCAATATTTTAAGGAATGAAAGCAAGCATAAAATCAGTGCACAGGATTATTATTATTTTTAAGCAAGGATTGTCTTTGTTTTCACATTTGTTTTTAGACTTACTGTTTTGGTATCCAGAAAGTTCTTTCGTTTTCAACCAAAATTTGCATTACTATAATAGATTGGGGACATTTTTGTATCTCTACCATGAATATTTCTGAGCAAGCTATTGATGGTTTGAACTTCAATTGTTCAGGTTGCAGCTAGACAACAACTTGAAGAGAGCAAAAATGTGGTAGAAAATCTTCTGGTTTGGCTGTCAAATGTAGACAAGGATGCTGACCATAGAGGTACAGAATGCAAGCCAACAATCAAACAGAATGGCATTGATTTTCATGAAGGAGATGGAGAGGATTTGATTGGAGGGGAAGATGAAGTAAATGGCAACTTGCTAGAAATCCAAGAACAGAGTGAAACTCTTGTAGATGGACGACCTACACTGTCGGATGATAATCTCAACATGCAATACCAGAAAGCTAAGGTAATGTTTACACTTATTAGTAATTGCAAGCATTTCATTCTTGTCCTGGGGGTGGGAGAAGGAGGTATGGATGGAGCAAAACGAATACACATTCTGGACTGTGCTTAAAACTGAGACTAGAATATGTAAAACAAGGTCTAGTGCAGGGGTGTCAAACTGTCGGCCCACGGGCCGGATGCGTCATGACGAAACTGAACCCACCCTATTGCCGGCAATGGAATAAAAAGTCGCGATACGTCACGACACATCACGTGACGTTGCGAGTTTGACACCCTTGGTCTAGTGGAATCAAAGCTTATTGCTGGGATCATTTTAAGTCCCTAAATCTCCAGAGCTATTGGAAATGCTACCTTTTTTCTTGGTGTACTGCAAAGCTCAAAGAGTTCTCATTGGAAATTATATCACAAGATTCAAGAGTGGAACCAAGAGGTGGTTTTGATTTCTACTTTGGAGTTGAAGGTACTCGGAGAAAAGAAAAGTCAGAGGAAAGTGGGGAAAAAACTCTTCGTCATCCTTTTTAACATAATACAGTAACAGGACACATACAAAAGAACCTAAATGCCCCTATAAATCAGCAGGGGAATTTCTTCAAGGGCCTCAGTATTAGAAGTACTATGTTACACCCAAGAAGCATACATGATGAAATGTATATGATGAGTCAGTTTGGTGTAGTGATTAAGGTACCAGGCTAGAGATTGTGAGTTGGAGTCCTGTATTAGGTATAAAAGCCAGCTGGATGTCCTTGGGCTAGTCATTCTCTCTCAGCCCAACTCACTTCACAGATTTCTTGCTGTGAGGAAAATAGCAGGAAGGAGTATTATATACTGTATATTTGCTGCCTTGAGTTACTTATAAGGATTACAAAAATCAATTTTTTTTAAAAAAAATACATATTTTGACATGAACTCAACTGGAACCTTTTGAATAAGTTTTAACATGTTTGCATGTGATCATTTTGGCAGTGGAAGATTAAATGAGATTAGTGGTAGCATATACCGGTAGTAAAGAATCAGTTGTTGGTTCTAAGTGATTTTCAATATTCTATGAATAGAAATTTACTAAACATGGTGTCCTGCTGTGGAGCAAAAGTCTAATTCCACGCACTCTGGGTTCCTCCCCAGGCGCAACATGAAAAAATTATCTCACAGCAACAAGCCGTCATCGTAGCAACACAATCCGCCCAGGCTCTGCTTGAGAAGCAAGGACATCACCTTTCACCAGAGGAAAAAGAAAAAATCCAACGGAATTTAAAGGAGCTGAAGGTGCAGTACGACACTGCATTGGCTGAATCCGAACAGAAACTGAAGTTAACCCGCTCGCTACAGGAGGAGCTTGAGAAATTTGACGCAGATTACTCAGAATTTGAAAGTTGGCTGCAGCTGGCAGAGCAAGAGCTTGAGAACCTGGAGATTGGAGCCTCTGACTTCGGCGGCATTAGCATCAAACTGCAAAGGCAGAAAAGTTTTTCTGAAGATGTCATTTCTCACAAAGGGGATTTGAGGTTTATCACCATTGCTGGACAGAGAGTATTGGAGGCTGCTAAATCCTGCAACAAAACAGAAAGTGTCAGATACGAGAAAGAAGGCATGGATACCTCATCGACTTACATGGAAGTACAGGATAAGCTGGATAGAGCAACTAGTCGCTTCAAAACCCTCTACTCTAAGGTAAATTGAATTGTATGTGCATGGGATTTTCTAATTTATTGCATTATATCCCGCCTTGCTTCACAGTTTTCCAAGTCTGGTTCTCCCCATGTTTTTTAATCCCTCCAAATCAGATTGGGCTGAGTTGGTACTGGAACTTCTGTTGCTGAGCAAGGTGGTCATTAAATGAGTTGTGCCTGATTTTGTCACGTTTTTGGCCACTTAAGCAATTCACTGTGGCCATTAAGTGGAGCACATGATCATTAAGCAAATCCAGATTCTCCCATTGATTTTCCTTGTCAGAGGTTGGCTGGGAAAGTCTCCGATGGCAATCGTGACCCCAGGAAGCTACAACCATCGTAAATGCATACCAGTTGCCAAGTGCCCCAATTTTGATCATGTGACCGTGACAATGTGGCAATGGTTCTAAGCAGCTTTTTCAGGGCTCTGGCAATTTTGAATGATGGCTAATCAAATGGACCTACGTCAAGGACTGCCTGTATTGTAGTGAGCGCAGTGTTTCCTGAATACAGCCAGTGAAGAAGACCTAGTGACATTTCTGAAAACGAGGCTAAAAATTGATGGGAAATATATACATAAATCTGCATGAATGATTTTTTTCCTGATGATTGAGGTACCAATTCCACACCAGGTGCACATTATTACCTGTGCTTTCTTGATTGTTTTCCACGAGGTTTCTGGGTATAATTCAAAGAGCATGTTTTAATCTATGAACTTCTTTATAGTTTGGCCTTCACCTATCAGTGTAGGTGAATCAACTGTTTTAGCCTGAGCTAAAATTCTGCTAGGCAGCTTTGAGGCCAAACAGTTGTGCGTTAAGACAATGCATTTATTAAACACACACTTCTAAACAATAAATTCTTCTAGTGCATACAAAGTTCAGTGTTAATTACTTTGCTACAATCTACATAGTCAATTTTTTACCATTTATATAGTTTGGCATTTAGCCACTAGATGGCGCTAAGTGTATTAATAAAACAATTGCTCAGTAGTCAGAAGAGGGAAAAAAATGATGAGAAAACTTCTAAAACTTGGATTCTTCCAATGCAGATTCTTCCAATGAGCACAAAGGGAAGTATCACCCTTTCCTCAAACTATTACCTTTATCTTCATTGAAAGAAAATGGTATATGTCAGTATTTTCAAAAACAATTTCCTGCTAAGCTGATAAAGTAGTGAATAAGAGGAAACTTCTACAGTATTGTAGAAAACGTTAATAGTATAAAATCAGTAGCATTTTGTGGAAATATAGACATCAATTTTTTTTGTAATATATTTTATTGATTTTTTTAAACATAGATCACTTAATAATTGGTGAACAGTGTGTTGTCAGGCTTTACATTTGTAAAACAATCACTAACAATTGATTTCTATAATCCATAATCCACATAATAGTTTTAGTTGATTTCCTCTTTTCCCCAAAATGTCCTCTTTTGCAAACATTGGGTTAATACAATTCTTATTGTTTTGATTAAATTAAATATATATTTTTTCCAATATTCTTAAAAATAATAATCACATCAATATAATATTTCTTTTCTATCCAATCATTCTGGTTGCCTCATCATAGATCCTGTTACAGTCCTTATTTAAATTTGTTTCTCCCACAAAATTCAAAGTATTCTTACTGATTAAGATTTTCTCAATTTTTTAAAAAAAATTAAGTCTATTTTTTCCATATGAACCATCTCAGCACTTTTACATTTCTTAAGGAATAGATAAAACAGTAAAAAAAAAGAAAGGAGAGCAAGAGTAAAGAAACATAAAACAATAACATACTACTTAAAATATATATCCCTCCTAAGCTAATATACATTTGTTTCCAAGATTTCTTATTCTTTTTAACCATAATTAAAAATATGTTTAATCTTTCAATATTCCATTTAATACATCTAGTCATCTGGTCCTTTAACTCTTATTTAAAAAATGTGTTTTTTTTAAAATATAGATATCAAATTTATTGATGTGCTAATTATATTGTGTGAATGCAGTCACTGGGACTGTAATAAGATTAAAAATATAAATAATTTGTCATTGGATTTTTGTATTTCTTGATGAAACGGCCACAAATACTTTCTTGACTTGATTTCCTAGTTTGTTCCCATCTATCTTACCACATGTTTAGGTTTAGGTCCACATGTTGATTTATTACAACAGAACGTGAAAAGACCATATAGCAAAATTAAGTACAATTAAGTTTTATCCACTGTTGTAACAGTTTCTGACAAAAATCAGTATGGAATGAATGCCTATGGCAAATTGCAAGGGTATAACTACAAATATAATTTTAAAAAAGCATTTCTCTTTTTAAATGTTGTTTTCTATCCTACCTCCTTCTAGTGTAGTATCTTTGGAAATAATCTCAAAGACCTGGTAGATAAATACCAGAATTACAAAGATGCTGCATCTGGACTTCTGTCTGGACTCCAGGACTGTGAAGAAGCTGTGAATAAGCAACTATCTGAAGCAATTGCTGGGGATCCAAGAAATCTCCAAAGGCAGCTAGAAGAAACCAAGGTAAATCTTGTGCTAGGTTAAAGACATTAAGGCAAGGGCAGATTACAAAGGAAAGAAAGGAAAACCCTCCATATTTTAATGCAATTTGCCCAATGCAGATTTTCCTGAAACTGTATGATAACTTGAATTAGTGGCATGGTGGCCTAAAGGTGGAGCTCTTGCCTCACAGTCAGGAGGCTGTGAGGTCAATCCTAGGTAGCGGCAGATATTTTTCTCTCTGGGCGCAATGAGTAATTGTCTGCTGTGAACTCCATGTGGGTGTCAGGAAGGGCATCCAGCCAGTAAACTCTCGAGCTCCGTTCAATCGCCCCAACTTCACCCCAATGCAAGGAATTACAGGGTTGTTAAAAAAAAAAAAGCCTGAATACAAATACCTTTCAATACCTCAACTTTTTCAAAACGTGTAAGAAAGTGATATTAGGGAAAGTACGCACAAAATACTTTCTTGAGTTAAAATAAAACTGCTGATCAAAGGTTGGGTAGGCTTTGGAATTTTTTTTCACTTTTTCAAGTTAAAATGACTCTTAAAGGAACAACACGTTTACTTGCTTTTTTAAAAAGCTTGAAAATGTTGTGGTGCTTTACCTAATATTAGAAAGGTGCTGCCTGTGTGTCTTCTGAAGAGTGTCTTTGGAATCGTTTTGAAAGAAACTACAGACTTGCTGCCTATCAAGAAAAAGAGAACCGCATTAATTCAGAAATTTCCAGTGTATTAAAAATAAGTTTGGGTTAAATTCCATAAAAGAGGTAGTGAGCATCTTTTAAAGGTAGTCCTCACTTAACAGTGGTAATTGGGACCAGAATTTCCATCACTAAATGACGTGGTTGTGAAGCATGATGTCAAATGGCTGTGCCGCTTAGTGATGGAAATTCTGCCGCTTCCTAATGCCCTCACTAGGCAAATCACCACAGATCGTTAAGCAAGGACAAGACATGGTCGCCATTTGCAACCTCCTGCCGGCTTCCCCAATGACTTTGCTCGTAGAAAGCTGGCAAAGAACATCACAAATGGTGATCATATGACCACAGGGATGCTGCGACTGATATAAGTAGGAGGACCAGTCATAAGGACCATCCGTTCAGTGCTGTGTTAACTTTGAATGGTTGCTGAATGAGCGATTGAACTTTGGGCAAGTGCTGAATGTGGTCCAGGCAGAGGGCTCGGAGGTTAGATGGACTGGGAGATTACAATTGCTGTTGAATGTTCATTGGTTTTGATATCACCAGCCTACAATTTTTATCCTACCGTTTGTTGCTTTTGGAATTTTGCTCGTTTGTTTGTTTGTCAATTGATCAAATTTATTGGCTGCCCATCTTAACTCTGGGCAGCTCACAATGTGCATCGTTAGCCTCCCACAGTTATACTTGTGATGTGAGTTCAAAAGCAAATTGATTTAATAAATAAATACATGCTTTAAAAAAAGTCTCATTTAAGCCAAAGCTACTTTTTGCAGCTGATAAAACTACTTAGTAATCCCGCGAGACAGTGACCAAGACAGTGACCTTGGCTGCATGAATAGGATAATCCTTTTACCAAGATTAAGTGTCCAAAATACTCTTCATTCCCCAAGGTCCTAGCTTTGTTTCTAGTATTCTCCAAGGATTTCCTTAAAAAGCAAAGCAACACCTGCCCCAACCCTCATGGGAAAAGGGATTATTGTTGCAATAATGAAAAATAATTACGTCTTAATACAATAAAGTCAATACATTACTGAAACTGAAAATTGCAAAATAATAAATTAAGGCACAGCTATGGGACAACCCAAAGAAATAAAACAAGAATGCAGCTTAGATAAAGCTAAATGTTTTATGCACATGGCATAAAGCAAAATGTTCAGAGAAAGACGAGCAAGAGAGCTGTTCTCTTGCAGCCTGTCCCTTTTGTGTTCCAAGTGACATCTCTCATAGCAGGCTGTAGTTTTAAAATAATAAATATTTTTCCCAATGAAGAAGAGTGTGTTGACATGATGTTAAGATGAAGTATAAAATATGTGCTGGTTGACAATTAAGGTTGATGTTGGTGAAGTGCTGGACACTCTAGTTGCCCTCTCATTATAATACTGTTTATAATGAACAAAATGCGTCTATTATTAAACTGAAAATTTGTATCACAGATATTCAGCTCCTCATTCACGGTTGGAGATGACTCTGTCAAAAGCCCGGGTAAGGAAAGAGACAAATATGTCACAGAGGACAAAATATGCCAGGAGAGGTTTCTTCTAACCTCATGGAATTGAATAAGAGTACAATCAGCAACAGGCTACATAGTACACTGCTTGCTCAAAATTAAAATTCAGTTTTTGTGCTGCACCAGACCAAGAATTCATGTTGTGTTGAACGTGACACCCAGAATGACTAAAAAAGATGCTCTTGGAAATTAAGAAGCAGAATAAGTTGTAAATAGTCACCAGTATGATTGTTACTAGCACTTACATCTCCCAGTAAATCTCATTGCTCTTTTAAATTCTTTTTAAAAAGCAACTAACATAATTTAATTGGTATAATTTTATAGGTGCTTCAGGGACAAGTATCTAGTCAACAGGTTGCAGTAGAGAAATTGAAAAAAGCAGCTGAAGTGCTTTTTGACACGAGAGGAGAATTATTGCCGGACAAAGATGAAATCCAGCATACACTGGGTAAGATGAGTCACCGTCTCTTCTGTTTTCTTCTTCCATTGCTCACATTTGGACATATCTGCTCTGGTTGACTTTGTGACTCCCTCTTTTTTCCTTCCTTGACTCATCTGTTTCTACCTTTGTTCTTTAATTCTGAGCCAAATTTCGGATCCAGCTCCTCACATTTGATGCATACAATCTACAGAAAGCAAATAATTATCCAGCTTTTACTTAAATTTAGAGGGAGGGAGAGCCATTGTTTAATATAAAGTCATAGGATTTAATAGTGCTTAACTTTGGCTCAGTTGTGCAATAATGTTTTTGAACCAGATCTGATTGTAGCAGATCATTTTTAAACGCTGATTCGTGCTAACGTTCTGACTTTTGTGTGTATGTATAAACCGGTTTTGAAGTGCAAATGGACTGCGGGGGCTGAGATGGAGGACAGAGACTATACAAGAGTAAATTACATGAAGGTTACAATGACCTTCCAATTTATTTATGACATTATGAAAGAGCATCTGCTCTACATCAAAATGTATCCTTGGCTATATAATACAAGTCATATCTTTTAAATAGATGTAAGACATCTGCAAGAAAAAAATAGAGAATTTAGCAAGATAAAAGCTGTTTACCAAACAACAAATTTTTCAGATTTCCAGAACTTCTGCATATGCCTAGTGAACATGAAAACTAGCCAGCCCTATGTAGAATTTTCCTTCATATTTTAAGCAGAAAAGAATTGGAGAAGTGCATTCATAGTGCACTCAAGCATTATAAGCTGGACATACCTGAATTCAATTAGAGAATTACGAATTTCAGTGACTTAATTTAATATGTATATTGATATAATAATGATGATGATGATGATGATGATGATGTTGGAAGGGACCTTGGAGGTCATCTAATCCAACCCCCTGCTCAGGCAGGAAACTCTATACCATTTCGGACAAATGGCTGTCCAGTCTCTTCTTTAAAACTTCCAGTGTTGGAGCATTCACCACTTCTGGAGGCAGGTTAGAGAGACTGTTACCAAGAAATGTGTGGTTAATAACTGGTTAAATTAAATTTAGATCTAGGGCTGATCCCGTTATTTCAGTAAATTAAACCCTAGAATCTAGAGTAGGTGATATTTGAAGTTTTTGCATTTCTTTAAAAATTATAACTGGTCTGGTCTAACAAACAAATTTTACGGATTACTGGAACTTATATAAAGACCTAAAGATATAAGAGAAAACTGGGTATGCTAACTTAAGGCTTAACTTCCTTGATTTTAATCCTGGATTATGTGAAATCTGTTTAACATAGTTTCTAGTTAACATATATTGCTATTTTTTTTTATTTTTGCCTTGCAATGCTTAATGCTGATCAATTTCTATATGCCTATTTAGCCATCTAATCTTTTTATGTCTGTTATTTTATTACCCATGCTTATTTATGCTGCATAAAAGTGTGCAAAAGACAGGTCTGTAATTTCATAGAAAAAATAATATTGCATATCGGGAGATGTAATTCATAAAAGCCCATTTTTATCTACCAATCTTTATTGTGAGAATGTAAGGTAAATTTAGAGAGACTTACAGTAATGATCTTCAAGAAAGATTCAAAAACATTTGGTGAAATCCTATTTTTTAAAATTATAGTCTTTTCACCTTAGCACTGGTTCCTTAGAATTGCTACAATTAGGTAGTGTTTTAACAGGATGGACCCACCAGCGTTATCCACAAATTTCAGGTACACTAGACATAGATCTGAAATAGAATGAATCAAATGTTCTCAAACCCCTGGAAACGTATTGTCAAAGTTGGCTAATGTGCATATATTTCATATTATGAATCCATGGATTCGTAATATTCATAATATCCCTATTATGAATTCATAATCCATATTATGAATGTCTCCCAGGACATTGTCTTGTATTTTACCAGTTTCCTAGACATAAATGGAAAAAATGAATATAGGAAAACCAATTATTGTGGGTGAATAAATAAGGGAGAAAAGAATTTTCATTTAACTTAGATGAATCTTTTAAAAACTAAAAAGAAAAACAAATAGTTGAAAAAGAAAAGCAGTTTAATCCCTTTTTTTAACTGACAAATGAGTTTAGCTGAATATCTTATGCTTCTGAACCCCTTATGAAGAGAAATCTGGAAAAACAAAAGCGACACTCAAAATCCTGATTGTGGAGATAAATGCAAGATATGATCCTGTACTGTAGATCTCAGAAATAGTACAGCATCTATGCTGTGGCATGGAAATGGTAACTTACATGATAAGCCATTTCAATTTTCAGGTTGTATTCTGACTACGGTAAACAAAGTTCACATACAGATTTCTTCTTGAAGACTTCTATAGACTGATCTTATTACTAAGGGACATTTAGAAGTCACATTCAGACTGGCAAATTTCCTTTTAAAGTTCTGCAGGATCATTTAATAGAATTTTACAGAAGATGGATTGTTGGATATAATTCTATAGAACAGAGGTCCCCAACCTTTTGGGCACCAGGGACCGGTTCCGTGGAGAAAGGTTTTTCCACGGACCGGAGAGTGCGTGGTTTTGTGTGCTGCCTGCATCCCACGGATGGGGCTTTGCTTGTTTGTGTGGACCGGTTGCTGGCATGCCGCGGCCCAGTACCGGTCCACGGACTGGAGGTTGGGACTCCTGCTATAGAAGATAGTCCCTTCTATTATAAGGTTCATCACCATGAACTCTGTGTATGTGTGTGTGTGTGTGTGTATAAATATATAAATAAACAAAAGATTTATCTACTGCCCCAATCCAACAGACTTTTTTTTTCTTTTCAGACACTATTGTAGATAAGTATAACCAATTATCTAAAGCAGTGAACGATCGTAATGAAAAGCTCCAAATAACTTTGACTCGTTCATTAAGCGTTCAGGATGGATTAGATGAAATGCTAGATTGGATGAATGGTGTTGAGAAGAATCTCGAGGTACATGGCCAAGTGCCTTTGAACTCTGCTGCTATTGAAGATGTCATTAGCAAAAATATGGTACGTAGAACTTTAATAGAACCTATTCTTTCTCTAATAAGGAGAAAATTGTAAGAGAAGAGAATGATTTGAATAGCATGGAAAGAATCAAAGAAGAATAAAACTCTGCTTCAAAACAGTGGCCAGTACCAAGCCATAGTACAGTTTGCTTGATTTTGTCTTTGTGTGATTTGTGATTCCAGTAATTGCAGATGATTAGTCATGTTTTATGATTTAGCCTAGTGAACTAGGACAAAGTGGTTTATTAAACAAGCTATTTTTCGGGGAAACTATAGTTATTATGTGAGGCCACCCAGTTACTTTTCTTTAGGGTCCATAGTACATATACCGGTATGTTTTGATAATATTCTGGTAAGCTGACGACTAAATGTCCCAAAGTGTGATGTTTCTATGCAAATCCTTTAGTCTGAATATACTAACATCAATTCCATATGGGAGGTATCAGTTGATGAACAAAACCAAAGATATACTTTACCAATGTCCTTAAGTAACTAGTGTCTTTCTTACACCTAACTGTGTACTGAACTATTGAAGTAGCTGACTTTAGAAGTCAATTACTCATTTGTGCTGGCAATCACATTTCATGCATAATAGATATGCACACACATTATCTTGGACATTTTCTGAAACAATTTTATTTCAGGCACTAGAACAAGACATTGTAGGCCGCCAGAGCAGCCTAAACGCCATGAAAGAAAAAATGAAGAAATTCATGGAAACTGCAGATCCCTCAACTGCATCTTCCTTAGAAGCTAAAATGAATGAGCTTTCCCAAAGGTTTTGCGAAGCTCATAATAAACAAAAGAAAAAACTAGAAGACATGGAAAAACTGAAGACCAGAGTAGAGCTGTTTGAATGTCTGTCTGACAAACTTCAGTCATTCTTTGACAAGAAAGCTCAAGCCCTCAATGAGGCTGATATTCCAGGAAAGGACGTTGCTGAAATGTCCCTTTATGTGCAGGTACAGTGTATTTTTCATCCTGTGAAGTGCTGTTCTGGCCTTCACTGAATACCACTCTAAAATGATAATGGAAGCTGTTAAGTTCAAGGACTAAATGTTGAATCTTAGGGTTATCCAGTCAGGTATAAAGCAGTTACTTTCTTTCTTCACTTTATAGGAAACCAACACAGAATTGATGGAGCAGAAGAAAGATCTCGAAGTTTTGCAACACCTCATTGAAGAACTTTCTCCTCATGCTCTACCAGGAGACAAGTCATTAGTGTTAGAAAAAGTAAATGTCTTGTCAAAGAAATTCAGGGAAATGGAAGAGATGATACAAGAAAAGTGAGTATAGTGACTGAATTTTAGAATGGAGATGAAAGATAATGATGAGATGACAACAGCAAGGCTGTCAAAAAGTTACTGATTTTTTTTTTGTGGATTAATGATTAATATATTACAATTATCATGACTTTATTTGAGAGCCTTTTGACAATAATTTAGATAATAATAATAAAAAAAGTTGGAAGGGACCTTGGAGATCATCTAGTCTAACCCCCTGCTCAGGCAGAAAATCCTATACCATTTCAGGCAAATGGCTGTCCAGTCTCTTCTTAAAAACTTCCAGTGTTGGAGCATTCACAGCTTCTGGAGGCAGGTTGTTCATATAACGAATGGCATGTTTCATAAATGAGAGATAAAATTATATTTAATGCTGACTAGTACTTTTGTATTGCAGTAACACTGGGTTGCTCTAAGTTGGAGGCTAGCTGGACAGGCGACTTAGTTTCTAGTAAGAATTTGAGCCTGTGGGTCTTAAGTGGGCATACTTCTATATAACTTCACTTCTGTCCCCTGTACTTTGGTTTTTCTGCCTTTCCTGATTGGTAATAGCTTTGGAAAGTTAACAGGAGGATGGATTCACACAATCGTGAATGCTTCTCTTGGGGAGAGGATAACACTGTGATGGTCCTCTATGGTCATCTATTGAATTATGCCTGCGTCTCATCCTATTTGGATTACTGCAGTGAACTTGGTGGGGAGGGGGGTGTTGCCTGTGAATATTACGTAGAAGCTGCAAATGGTCCAGAATGCAGCATTTCAATAGTTACTGATGCAACAATGTGATATGCCTGTGTTACATCTTTGGTGTGACAGTTACACTAGTTGCCAGTTTTCTTCCATATGTAATTCAAAGTGATGGTAATCATTTTTAAGGGCTTAAGATCTGGATATCTGTAGAATCTTTTGCCAGTCTCTATGTCTACAGATGCTCAAGGAGGGTTTTTTTTTTGTCCCAGCTGTTTGTTAACTTTATCCAACTATTTCAATATATATTGGCAGTCTGAATACAGCTTTTACAACTGGTTTAACTTAGAAAGGTACTGCATATTTAATTCCGAGGTCAGGGAGGCCCCAACTTTCCCAATTCACTCTTTCTGTTTTTAATTTTATAGAGAGAAGGATGTGTCCTCTTGCCAACAACAAATTGATGCATTCAGGTGTTATGTTGAGTCTCTGAAGAAATGGATAGACGAAACGACAGAAAGAATTCCCCATATACAGCCCTCTTTAAATACTGAGAGCTTAAAGAAATATTTGCAAAGCACCAAGGTATAAACTGTGTTTGTCTTTACAGGTAGTACCTCTGGACAAAGGATTTTTATGTCCATTAATTAAACAATGGTCTCTGAACTGAAGTGGTTGCAAACACTATTGGTTGTGCGGTATCACTCATTTAATTCAGGCCAGAATGGATTAAACCTGTGTAGTGTGTCCAAGGATTTTCCTATGCATTATAAAGGAGAGAGCCACTCGCTGTGTACAAAAGTTTGTTTGTGCAATGGGAGCATATATAAAATGGAAAATTTGTGTGGTTTCAAACCTGAAATAACATATGACCTTCTACATCTTCTCCTGGGAAATAATGAATATTGTTCTAAACACTTCTGTGCTGTAAGAGGCAAGGAAGACAAGGTGTAATGTATGTCCCTGCCATTTCTCCTTTGCTCATCAGCTTCCAGTGTAGCTAATAAACTTCCAGTAGTTAATAAACGCTGCAGAATTTCAAAAGAAATTTGAGTTCTGATATTTTTAAGGTTAATTCTGAGTATAGATTGTACATCATAATGGATAAAACAAGATATGAGAAAAGCATATCCAGTCATGTTAAGTCCTTTCAAGTGTAGATATGTTCTCTCCAAATGATAATTGTAGTTACTATTGAAAATAATTGTTCATTCCTTAGGATTTGGAAGATGAATGGAATGCAAAAGCACCTGATCTTAAGAAAATGAATAGCAGAGGAAATGCTTTGCGTAACCTAATTATTGCTGTGACTTCCACTGCAAAATCATGGGGAGTAAAGTCAGGTATGTTGCCTGGATAAGCATAACTCTGAATGTTTGATACGTTTGAAATGATATATAAAATGATTAATAAAATATGTCGTTTTAAGAAATACTCCCCAAATCATTGCTATATTTATTGGAAAAAAAAACATTGAACAGTCATGATGTACAACTGGAATAAAATTATTAATAAAACACATCATTCTAAGAAATATTCCCCAAATCATCGCTATATTTATTGGGGGAAAATGAACAGTCATTTTGGTAATCCTGAAAGTGATGAGTCTAATTCTTACTTAATATTTAATAATGCTAATGCACAGAATGGATTAAGAAAATGATTTAATATACCACTGATTCATTTTCATGTCCATATTTTTATTGCTTCATGTAGCCTAATATTTGGTGCAAATCATTCAGGTTCTCAATTGATGACGTGGTTTTGTCTGCTTACCGCAGTACATGCTACACTTCTGACCACTTTGTTTCAAAAGAGCTTCCATGTTGTTTTTCCTTACATTAATTTTGCATTCAATCTATTGGGAGGATTCTCTATTTTCTGACACTTTTCCATTCAGGATTCCTACTTTCTCTGTTGGCAGTCATTTTACTCTTGTTTCTCTTAACATATTTCCTTTCCATCCATGTTATTTTTTTTCATGGCCCTACCAAATAATGGCTTATCCCATGTCAAGAACTGATCATTGCACATGTATCTTTTACCAGAAACAATCATATCAATCATGTTTTTCAACGTAGTCCTTCTCTATAGGTGTGTATGAATAGACATGTTTAAACCATGTATCTAAAGCAGATACTCATCAAAACCATGTATTTCTAAGCAATACTCTTCTCAGTTCTTGGGTATCCAGATGGGTCAATGACTTTCTCTTACTCTCTTGTTTTATTTCTTTCTATCTATTCATTCTATCTAATAGAACTTTTTCCCATTTTGGGTCACATTCAGAATATTGCACAATTTCCCCCCAAACAAAAGCTAGTTCTTCCACTGTTACCATTTATTGGGTCGTAACATGATGCTGACTGAAACAAATTATCAGTAAGACAGTTTGAAGGATTGGCAGATTATGATCTCCATTATCTTCCTATCCATGGCTACTCTTAGATATCATGGATATCTTCCCAATTGCTTGCCTGCCATTGTATGGTTTCAAGCAAGATAAGATACTGTGTCACAGTTCCTGTTTCTTATAAACACTTGAAATTTCTTTCCTACTTTAATAGCAAAACGATGTCCTTTTTCTGATTCCTTTGGGGCCATTCTGCTCTGCTACACTCCTTGGACATATTTTGTCTTGCTTCTTCTGTGGAGTTTGTTTTGTTCCAAGTTTCATTTAGCTCCTGTGGAGAAATAAAACAGCAGATCAAAAGCATGTTATTCATGGAAGGAAGCAGGGGAGGCAAATTGTGAATATTGTATTGGGATATTTCAGTGAAAAGTTTGCCCTTTTGCATTTGTGTTGTAAGATCGCACTCAAGCAAGTAAGCGTCAGAACAATATTGTGATACCACAGCTCAGTAAAGTTGGCTTGTGGTAGGTGCTTGTGCTGGGGACGGAAAACCTAAAGTTCTGTCCCACAGTTCGTGAGATAGGAAATGTGCTAGTCATGGCCAAGAATGGTGTTGTTTAAAAGCACAAAGCTTACAGTACTCGTGTTTATCTTCACGATCTCTTCATTCATGATTGTTGTGGAAAACATTTTCTTCTTGTTATTGGAGATTATGACACAGTTTACCCACCAGTTCGGCAACAACAGAGGCCTGCTTTATTATGTGATGCTCTCATAGGGTCTTTAGGCCTGAGTGCTCAAAAGAGAGAATAGAATGCAGTTCTCAGAAGTGACTGTCCCACATAGTTGGGCTAATGCATCTACTGTGTAGTGATCAGAACAGCTGTGATAGCTTAAAAATACACTGGATTGGTGCTGGCATTAGGTAGACAGGCTGCTTATCTTAGGTATCTGGTTTTTGCTGGCATTGAATGTAGTATATCTTAATTACTTGATTTACTGTTCTGTGAGAGTAAGAATTTTCTGCCTCACTGCCAGAATATGTTGATCGATCTTGAGTACCATACACCAGGGGTCTCCAACCCCCATTCCAGCAACTGGTCCGCACAAACAAGCAAAGCCCCATCCGCAGGATGCAGGCAGCACACAAAACCACGCCCCTTCTGGTCCGCAGAAAAACCTCTCTCCACGGAACCAGTCCCTGGTGCCCAAAAGGTTGGGGACCTTTGACATACACCTTGATTGAATAAGGGAAAAAGTTGTCATTGTTCATGACTACTTTGCCTCAGGATACAAAATATCTTGGGACAGGCCCACCACTTCTCTTCATTCTGTGTTGTAGCAACTGGGCATTGTGTATCAAGATATTATGAGATTTTTATCCAGAGGTGAATGCACATTAGGCTAGTGGACTAAATCTGCCCAGTAGTATTTTGAGAAAGCCTGCTGAGTTTTCTCTCCTGCTTGGGTTAAGGAACATTGATTAGGTGGTAGGATTTTTCTATTTTGGCCCCCCGTGTTTTAGAATTCCTTGCCTTCAGAGTCCTCCTCCTTCACATTCAATAAGGGAGCTAAAATAATTCCATTCTCCCGGGATCTTAAATCCAGCTGATTGTTTAATACCATCCATCTTGGGATGGCTTTAGCAATCTAAATGCTGTTTTCATTAGTTTACTTTGTTGTATGCCAACCAAGAATCTCCATCTTATAGCGTGTTACAAACTGTAAATTAATTAAATTTCTCACATTCCTATAATACACAATCCAGACTGTGAGAATGATTCAAGGAAGCAGTATGGCCATTTGCATCCCCATTAATGTTAGTCAGCACTTCAGACATGTCTGTCTGTTTTCTGCAACTGCCAAGGGATTAAAAAAAAGGCACAGATGCTTTAAAGCAGGGGTTTCCAAGCCCCGGTCCAAGGACCGGTACCAGGCTGCAGCATGCCAGCAACCGGTCCGCACAAACAAGCAAAGCCCCATCCGTGGGATGCAGGCAGCACACAAAACCACGCACTCTCCGGTCCGTGGAAAAACCTTTCTCCATGGAACCAGTCCCTGGTGCCCAAAAGGTTGGGGATGTAGTCAGGGTGCAAATATGAGCTTTTTCTTAACTCTGAAGCACTCTCGGGGAACTCGGCCCAAAGCATTCCACAGTCTGCACATTTTGTTCCACTGTATTACTGGCTTTAAGTATTATCAAGAGGAGAGTTTAAGCCTGAAAAACTCTGTGCATCTGAGTGTACTGTGAAAATCTTTCTTGAGGAGAAGGAAAAAGAGCTGAATCTAAACTTTCTAAATTACAGCACTGTAAAAAAAATATATAGTCAATTCCTAAGGCAGGAAAGGAGAGAAAAAAAATTTAGAAACCTCATGTGATTTCACCATTGGTAGCAGTAGCAGTCTAGTTATCAGCCTATCAAATTTGTAAGACCCTCCTGACTTCATAATGACATTGAGCACTAAATAGTTTGGAATAACATAACACAGAAAAGAGGCATGAACCTCTAAAGAGAGTAAAATAAACACATGGCTTTAGCATAAAACATTCCCACAAGCAGCCCCCATTGATCTTAGTCCAAGGCCTGATGGAGAAAACCAGGTTTAAAGATGCCATTCAAACAAGGTTAGAATAGAGACCACATGGACCTGCTGATTCATATTAACAGGTAAAAGAAATGCTATTTTAATAGCAAAAATCTGCTGAGAATGCTGCTCACTTCTGTATTAGATTTACTTTGAAAAGTGGAAGCTTAGTGGCTGATACGTTAGTGAGAATTCTGCACAGGGTGAAGTATAGGACGGTCGTATAATTGTATTATGAGAGTATCTCACTTACTTAACTGATTTATTTTGTCTCCCTATGTTCCAGCTGCCATTAGACTAATGCTCGCTTCCCACCTGCTAGTGAGAAGTGAATAACCTGGCCTTTTCTAAGGCTTCAATTAATTCTGCTCCATTAAATAATCATGTTTTGCAATCTTGCTTATAATGAAAAGCAATAGATACTAATAAGAGCTCTTATTTCTGTCATAAATAATAGATATTTTAGTGCATCATCATCATCAAGTTGGCTTTGACCCAGCTAAAAGGCAGCATTTCCGAAACCAGTTCTGTGATTTAGAAATTTACTAATCACACAACAAAGTGATGATTGTGCTAAAATGAAAGCTTGGGTTGCCTCTTACGTCACATGTCATTTGCCCTAAAATGACCTCGAACAATATTTAGAACCCTTTTGCACAGTTATAGAGTTGTGTTTGTTAAGTCATGATTGCAGTTTTTCAACTTAGCCATACAGAGCGTTTCTCGTTGTTTCAGAATTTAGAACAGATGGTCCAGAACAAACAAGTGCAGGGTCGACTTTTTAGTTATTTGCTGAATTATAGTACTGTATTCCAAAAGAGCAAAACAGAGTTTGTTATCCTCTTTCAAGCAACAAATATTAGATGCAAACAAGTCTTGCCTTTTTGCAAAATATGCACAGGATGGTTTCTCACACAGTTTTTGGGACATGAGTCTTTGTATTTAAGCTCCCTGTCCTGTACAGTTCTCTCCAGAAGTAAGTTCTTTTGTATGAAGGCTTACTTTCAGGCAAGCACATAATCCTGATTGTCATTCTTCCACTGTATTGTCATGTAGTTCTGAATCTCCTTTCTATCAGTTTTCCTCTTCTTACTACAACACTTCTGTTGTGCTGATGGAGGATTGATTTTATAATGAATAATTATATTATGTTGGTATAAAGATGTCCCCATAACTAAGATGCTGTTTAGATTAGTATGGTTCTACTGGTAGCAGTAAGATAGGATAGGGGGTTCAACGCCCTTTTCAAGCACTGAATTTTAAGCAAGTTATTGTACAAGTTTCACTTCGATATTTGTAAAATGGGAATAATAATATACTGCTTAGTCCTAGAAGATTAAATAAAATAAAAATATAATTAAAGATTAGGAACATAAAATGTATAAATACTGGACTGGTTTTTTTTTTATAAATCTTTAGATTCTAAATGTGAAAGACAGGACTAGTTTCTGTTGTTGTTGATGGAAAAGTTCCCTGTATAATATAGTAACAGTGAGAGAGCAGAACAACTTGTCTCCCTACCACTGGAAACCAGCCTACTGATTATGATTGCCTGGGCCGGCTTCTGCTGCATCTACTAGTAAATATCTCTTAGTGAAAGAACCTTAAAGACATTAATTCAGTGACAGCATGACTTGGCAACACTGTTTAGATGAAACAGAAGATCCCGGATCAGGCCAAGGAACCTCGTGCTAGGACAATTCCTTGATTACAATAAAATTCTTCAAACAGCAGAGGCCAACCTCCAGTGGTTGAGTACAACTTGTTCAAATAATCACATACATCCTCCCAAAGACAAATTTTACAGCTGAGAAATAAATTACACACAGCATTGGAATTGGTTATAACGTGATCAATTGTAAAAGTTAAAGACCATCTAAGGAGGACTAGAGCAGAGGTCCCCAACCTTTTGGGCACCAGGGACCGATTCTGTGGAGAAAGATTTTTCCATGGACCGGAGAGTGTGTGGTTTTGTATGCTGTCTGCATCCCACGGATGGGGCTTTGCTTGTTTGTGCAGACTGGTTGCTGGCATGCTGCGGCCCGATACCGGTCCACGGACCGTGGGTTGGGGATCCCTTGATTAGAGAGGGAAATTAAGGGTTTTTTCCCCCTTTCATGATATCTGACCTTTGTTCCTAATGGAAAAAATGGGATCGAGGAAAATGGAGGGTTCTGTTCTACTGGTAACATACACCCAATCAAATATGTATTACCTTTAATTAAGGTAATTTCTTAAAAATGGATGTGATCTTTTATGTTTCCATGTTAAATCTAGTCTAGTCCCTCTATTTGATGAAAAAGAATTTTAGAATTACTTAAATAATTATGAACTCTGAATCTTGGCTTTCATTTTTTTAGATGTGCCTGGGGAAATACTGAATGGAGATGGAACAGCTACTGGTAATCAGGGTTTCATGGCAAACAAAGGTAAGTACCAGTTAATTGTATTTATCTAGATTTATACTATATGTTATAGTAGTCTTAACTTGCACCCTTAATGAATTTCCTGAAATTGCATAATTTCCTTAGTGGTTATCATTATCTAAGAATCAGGGCGAGAACCAGAATTCCAAATTTGTCTCATGCACAAATATTAAAAAGCAGTTATGTTGGTCCATGAAAACAAAATCCAATTCCATATATATAGGTAATGCCTCTGTTAGGATTAAACAAAATAACTCAAAAGAATGTGCAACTTTGCATATGTAAAGCTACTATGGGGAGTCAAACATACAAGATATGAAGTTTCCTTCACAGAATTTGTTTTGTCTGTACTTTACTATCAGTTGAACAAACAAAAATCTCTCTGTGTGTGTGTGTGTGTATGTGTGTGTAAATAAGAATTTAAACTTTTTATTGTATTTGTATCTTCAGACGAAATATTATGTAATTTAGTTTTTAAGATAAATACATGTGGGACCCCTCTCTCACAGAACTGACCACGATTCAAAATAGCATATCAGCTGTAAATCAGAGTTATGATGACTTGGGAGCAACACTGAAGGACAAAAGATCAGAATTGGAATCAATGCTTTTAAATATGCAAAACATTCAAGAAGAAACAAGTTCTATGATGGAATGGTTACAGAAAATGGACACAGTTGCAGCCAAATGGGAAACAACTATTCTTGACAGTGAAACAGTTAAAGAAAAAGTTGATCAGCATAAGGTAATCTTCAATTTTCAAAACTTATCTGTGGAGAATAATTAATGTGTAAAGTGAATTTTTGAGATTTATGGGAAGATCAGCTTAATGATATAGAAAACCATTCTGCCGTACATTTTTGCATAGAGTCATTGTGGATATCTGCTAAATATGTTAGTGGCATTACTGCTTGGTGATTAAGCAGTCTTACAAATCCCCAAAAATATTTAATAATAAGTAAGCTATATCTATAGTACAATCAGAATTTCATTTTTAATAGCCTGAATTTGGCTGACTGTTAAATTTGCTTAAACATTTGCTTAAACCACTTGGTCACCATTGAATCAAAAATCTTAGTTTTATGTACTTTTACTACACTTGTGTGTGCTTTTGTTTTGTTTGTTTTTATAGCTATTTGAAACAGAATTGAAGCAGAATGAGAGTAAAGTGCAAGAGCTGAAGGACAGAGTCACAGAGTTGCTGGAAAAAAACCCTGATTCTTCTGAGGTGCCAAAATGGAAACAAATGTTAGACAAAATAGGTATTAATTTTTTGCTTCCTGTAGGCATTGGATAGGTCTGAAAGTTAATATGCTAATATATTTAAACTCCGCACTCAGTACCTGCTTGTATATTACTATTTGTAGCGCTACAGTGTCATTTATACAGCTGTATACTTATACTACTTACTCTTGTGTAGGTTGAAGTTTGCTATAGCAGTTCTGAATATACTGTAATTCAATGCATTTTTTTGGGAGTGTAAACTCCACCTTTCTTCCAACTTATTCAAGATGAAAATATTTAAAGGTTAAGCAACTATGCCCATTTTGTTGCTATTTCAGCTTAAATCAAGACCAAGGCATTGGCACTGTAGAGTTAGTATGGAAAACAGCCTTTTTATGTATCTTCATGCTCTTTTTTTGTTCTGTAATACATTTTCTGTCTTTTGTGTCATTTGGCTATTTTTCTAAAACATCCCTCTTAAACATTTTTGCCAGATATTGAGAATATGACCATGTTTGGACAAAAAAGATATGCATAACAATTCTCCCATTCCCACCTCTCCTGGAATTGTTGCACTTCACAAAAATGCTTGTTAATTTGTGCATCATTGATTGTGGTGAGCATTGCCATACAAAGCTTGCAGGACAGGAAGCTATAAATATGTAACAATAATATAAATAACCATGAAAGAAGTTAAGGGACGGGCATAGGCAAATAAGTAGGTCAGCCTAAAGAAACAATTACACTGCAGCAGTATATAAATAGACAGAGATTACATATACAATTAGGCTTTGTTCTAAGTTCAGGAAAAATATGTTATGCCCTATTTTGTTAATAATACTAAAAGCAGAAAAACTGCATGGGAAACTAATTCACATGGAGAATTAGCTCCCTCTTCTTCTGTGTAACGTATTAAAGTTTCCTCGACTCACTCAGATATCAGATGAAGCTCAATGGTGTCCGAAAGACATGTCAGAGTGATGCTTTAGCACAGTGGTGGGATTCAAATATGTGAACAACCGGTTCCCTGTGTGGATGCGGCTTCCAAAAGTCCATTCTGGGCCTGGGCAACAAAAAATTAGCTACCGGTTCTGCCGAAGTGGTGCGAACCGGCTGAATCCCACCACTGCTTTAGCATCACAATACAAGTCTCAATCCTTTTCCAAAAAGAGAGGAACGTGGTTACAGATACTGGCTATACCATGTTTTATTTTAGCTACTGTTTGGTGAAAAGCCAGTATACTGATAAATGATAAAACAAATTGTTATTGGTTATAATAGTAGAGAATATTTGTAGCTCAGGGTTGAACTGTGCAATCGCTGCTGCTCTCTGAGCTTGATTTTTTGCTTCCAGACATTTTATTACCCTTCTATGTCACATTTTCAGTGCTAGAAGGGGGTGGGGTTTGCTCTTTGTTTATATACAGTAGCTGGCCTTGTTAGTATTGGTGGAAGTGGTGTTTTCTCCTTGGTAGCTCCTGATTAGGCTGTTTTTGCTACTTGATTGTCTTAGTTGGTAGTTCCTTGATTAGGGTATTGTTTCCTGCTTGATTGTTTGTCTGGTGTTAATCCCTGCTTATCTTGGTGTTGATTGCTGATTAGGAGCTGTTTTGGGCTTTTATTGTCTCTTTTGAATGCTGTATAAACATCATTTATCTGTGTGCCTGTTGATGTCTGATGTGTCTGAATGCCAAGCTTCCAGGAATTCCCTAGCGTTTTTGGATTTAGCTTGGTCTAGGATACTCATGAGGAGGTGCAATGGCTCAGCAGTTAAAGACGCTGAGTTTGTCAACTGGAAAGCTGACAGTCCAGGTTTGAGACTCGAGCACCGCACGGTGAGGTGAACTCCCGTTACTTGCCCCAGCTCCTGCCCACCTAGCAGTTCGAAAGCATGCAAATGCGAGTAGATTAATAGGTACCACTTAAGTGAGAAGGTAGCAGTGTTCCATGCACCTTGGTGTATAATCATGCTGGCCATATAATCATGGAAAGGTCTTCCAACAATGCTGGCTCCCTCAGCAAAGAAACAAAAATGAGCACCGCCCATTTAGAGTCAGATACAACTGGACAGGGGAAACCTTTACTTTGAGGATGCTCATAGTTTCTTAGTTGAAACTTTGGTTAAGTTTGTCCATGTGCTGTGAAATTAAGGAGGTTTCATTGCGTCTTCTGACTGCTAGTTGGTGTTCATGGATGTGTTCTGCTAGTCTTCTGTTTGTTAGCCGTGGATAGTGCTATTACGGTTCCTAGACTGAATGTTGTAGATGACTCCTGTTTTTTTCTTCTTGCCCTATTGGGTCTTTTAGTCTACTTAAGATATTTTGGAGGACTTGTGTGCTCTGGTGCTCTGGTGATGTCATAGGATTGTAATAGTCTGTGGCTGTTTTTGAGAATTTTGTAATGTATGGCAGTGTTCTCCTTTTCGTATTGCTTGTGATATAGTGGTTGTGTGGTCAGGCCCTTTTCGATAAAGTTATGTGGACATCCATTCTTTGGAAGATGTTGTATCAGTGGTCTGTTTTTGTTTTCTGGTGTTCTGGGTTGCTGCTAATCAGATGTTTGTAGTCATCTGATTAATATTCTTATACAGCTTTTCCTGTGGATGGCTTGTTATTTTGGTAGTAAAGCACTTGGTTAATGGAGTAGTTGAGGATATCCAGGAAGGGCAGTGTGTTGTTGTTTACTTCTTTCCCTGTGAATTTTATTCCTTTGAAACGTTGTTTGATGTGTCTTCTCTAGTTGTCACTTTTTCATATCAAAGGTGTCATCTATATACCACATCCATACTTTTGCTTGTATGTGTGGGAATGCTATAATTTCCAGGATCTGCCTTGCAGTCTCTGCTATGAGTCCTGAGAGTGGTGATCTCCTGGGTGATTTGTTGGTATATGAGTCCATCAAACTGAAAATAAATCGTGAGGCAAAATTTGAAGAGGTCCGTGCTCTTCCACTCTTGAGAATTTTAGTAAAACAGCCTTAGACTTGAGGTGTGATGGTCTGAAGAAACTGTCATTACTCTAGGGACTTTATGAATAACCTGCCGTGTAATAAGAGTAAATTTCTGAAGAATACTGGACCAGTTTGGATGACCTAGCATATTACAGACAGCTTGTAAGCATCCATTTACCCTCTTCCAAAATATACCTTTTCCTCTTCTGGTATGTTTTTTTTCTGCCAACGTGTTATTACCGGCTTAAGAGGTTTGCTGTCCAGTCTCCATTATTGAAGAAAAGCATTTTCTAAGATGTAATTTTAAAATTCAGTGTTTATTTTGTCATAGATTCTAAATGGAGTCAACTCAGCCAGGTAGCAGCTGATAGACAGAAAAAAATGGAGGAATCATCAAATTACCTGACCCAGTTTCAGGCAACTGAGGCTCAGTTAAACCAATGGCTGGTTGAAAAAGAATTAATGATCAGCGTGCTTGGACCACTATCAATTGATCCAAATATGCTAAACACACAGAAGCAGCAAGTCCAGGTAAATATTTTATTGTTTTTGGTATGGAGCCTATGTTCTTTTTCTGTTCAAAATATAACCAAAGTAAATTTTGTGATCAATTTATCAATAACTCTAGTGTAGAATACTTTCTCCTGCAAGCTATAGATTTCTTAATGAATATAAAAAAACTAACAATAAGTTTGCTAAAAAAAAAATAAAAATCAGTGTCTATCTTTCAGAGGTGTATTCACCGAGGCAAAGAAGTCCTAGGTGGTCTCTGAGCTTAGAGTAATCTACAACGTACAATATAAGTACTTTAATAGCCACCATATAGGACAGATAGGCAGAAGACTAGCAGAGTGCATCCATAAACACCAACTAGCAGTCATGAAAATTCTTTAATCTTACTACACATGGACAAACCCAAGCACAGTTTCAATTGGGATACTGTGAGCATCCTAGATCAAGCTAAATCCAAAAAAGCTAGGGAATTCCTGGAAGCTTGGCATTCAGACAAATCAGGCATTAGTAGACACAGAAAAATAAACTACATTTACATACCATTCAAAGTATGTAATAAAATACAGATATATTGTTATAATAATAAAAAAAAGAAAAAGAAACAAAAAAAAACCCAGAATACATTATCTCCAGCAGTCAATTAGATAGCCATTAACACCATATAATCATACAGAAAACAGTGTTCTGATTAAGGAACTGCCGAGGAAAAAAATAATTACCCTCCCAATCCTGCAAGGCAAGCTACTGTATATAAACTTGAAGCAAACCCCACCTTCGCTAGCATGGATGATATTAGCTAGTTGAATAATGAAATGTCTGCAACCAAGCTCAGAGACCCTGCACCAAGGACTGCACAGTTCAACCCTGACCTACTACTACTACTACTACTACTACTACTACTACTACTACTACTACTACTACTACTACTAATAATAATAATAATAATAATAATAATAATAATAATAATAATAATAATAAAGTTGGAAGTGACCTTGGAGGTCTTCTAGTCCAACCCCCTGCTCAGGCAGGTAACCCTATACCATTTTGGACAAATGGCTGTCCAGTCTCTTCTTAAAAACACGGGTTTGTCAAAAACAGATCATGCCAGGCAAACCTTATTGCATTCTTTGACCAAGTGACAAAATTAGTGGACCAGAGGAATGCTGTGTTTTGGGATTGTACCCAAGGCGCTTATTATTATTATTATTATTATTATTATTATTATTATTATTATTATTATTATTATTATTATTATTATTATTATTATTATTATTATTATTATTATTATTATTATTATTATTATTTACTGAAATTCATATATCTCTCTCTGTACACACACACACACACACACACACACACACACACACACTAAATTATATATAATGGCATTAGCCAAGATAGACTAAAACACTTACATTGAGTATGGAACTGTTGGCCTGTTAAATAGCATTGATTATGACTTAATCACAGGTAACTATACGAGAACTGAAATCAGAATTTATTATCAATGAGCCCATTTATTGACATATAAATGATCATATGCAGCCAGTTGGATTTTTGCTGTTTTATATAGAGAGGAGATAAACTGTTAAAACAGGAACAGTCTTTCTGAGACAAGTCTAAATAATGAATCTGCATGTACAATATGGCTTTGGCAGAACAGCTTCCATTTATATGAGAAATGGCGCTACTAAAACTCAAGTAACAAAGTAGGGTGATGACGATTCTTCCTTGTACTTGTCCAGAATTAACTTCTAACACACCCTGCCTCCTCAGATTCTGCTCAAAGAGTTTGATACCCGGAAACCCCAGTACGAACAGCTGTCTGAAGCAGGTCAGGGGATCCTGCAGAGGCCTGGCGAACACCCTCCTACTCATGAAAGAGTGAAGCAGCAGCTGACAGCAGTGGCACAGAAATGGGATGGTTTAACAGGACAGCTGAGCGACCGCTGTAGTCGAATTGAACAAGTCATTGTCAAAAGTACAGAGTACCAGAACTGTCTGAAAAGCCTTTCCGAGAAACTTAGCACGCTGGAAAATAAACTCAGCCAGAACCTGGCTAAAAGTGCAGACCCTGATTCTGTGAAGCAGCAACTGGAAACGGCTCAGGAAATAAAAGGCGAAATAGACCAAGAAATGTTACACCTAAATGCTGCTCAGGTTGTGTGCGAGGAATTGTCTGTGTTGGTGGCAGAAGATTACTTGAGAGCTGAACTTGTTAGGCAATTAGAAGGTGTCTTAAAGCCTTTCAAGGAGATGGAACAAAAAGCCGGTAAGTGGCAAAGCAGTTAAAAAAATAAAATCCCAAATAGTGGGGAAATGTAGCGTTTCTTGAAATGAAAATTAGCTTTGCACTAAAATCAGGGTTGCAATTATTCCCCCAGATAGCTAGAACACGTTTGAAAGAAAAAAGATATTCCCTGGGGCCTGAATTGTATGGATGGGTGGTGATAGATCTGTTTTTCTAGATTGGACCAGTATCTTGGATCTCTGTATTTTATACTGAACGAGACACAATTGATAGAAGATTTATACACATGAACAGATGATTTCAACACCATTGAAATACCACTCTCCTTGTTCCTTCATTTAAGAAACTGAAGAAATCTCAACGCATATATTTCTCCTGTGTAGATATATTTAAAGCATAATGGAGTTTCACACAGATTCACTGGGAGCTTTAGAATATGGAGGAATTAATACCATGGGAAGCAGTACTAAATTTCAGATTTAAACAGGGTCCACTTTAACAGAGCATAAAACTCTTAACAGACATTGGCAGTGAGGTTTGCATTTTCTCTGGCAGGGCTTTGAAGAAAGCTTATGTAATTACCATTTTGTAGTAAAACGTATTGCATGTTTATTATAGACTAAAGGAGACAGTTAATTGCATAAGTAATACATGTTATTTCTATTACGCTATAGTTGGAAGCATCTCTGAAACCAATGATAATACTAATCTGGGACATGATTTTTTTTCTCAGACTCACAGGAATATCCCAATTTAGGATTGTTTTACTACTTCTGACTTTATTTTACATCTTAAAATAATCTTATATTATTCAAATACTATACATTTTGACTAGTTAAATCCAATTGTTCTATAGCTATGGCGTACATTTATTAGAAATAACTATTATTTTTGACTGAAATAAAACCCATCGTATTCTAACTTTGACGTGGTTTACAGTATTTTTAAAATAGTATTTTTAAAAATCTTTTTCAGGCAGTCTCATTGAACAACTTCAGTTAACATATGCAAGTTCTCATCAGTTCCAGCAAATGTCTAAAGACTTTCAAGCATGGCTGGACACAAAGAAACAAACACAAAATCAGTGTCCTCCCATTTCCACTAAGCTAGAAAGCTTGCGGTCATTAATTGAGGATCAGAAAGAATTTAAGGCAGCACTGTCTGACCAAATTGGTTCATATGAAAAAATAATTTCAGAAGGTGAAAATCTGCTTCAAAAGACTCAAGGGACAGAAAAAACAGAATTGCAGTCCCAGCTCAACATGCTCAAAGCTAACTGGGATGAGCTGCATAAGCAAGTGAATGAAAGGCAAGATAAGTTGAATGATTGTTTGGAAAAGGCTCTCCGATACAAAGAACACGTAGAGGTCCTTCAACCCTGGATAACCAAGTGCCAAAATAACTTATCAGAAATTAAAATAGGTATCGATCCTGTTGAGATAGAGAATTCCATTGCTCAGGTGAAGATTTGGCAGAAGGATTTGGATAAACACCAAGGGATTGTTGAGCTCTTAAGTAATGCAGCAGAAAGTTTTCTTAGTGCCTGTCAAACTGATAAGGATGTTATTGAAGAGGAAAAGAAACAATTGATACAGAAGATGGATATGGTCACAGAAGAGTTACATATTAAAAGGGATACTCTTGAAAAGATGTCTCGGAGATTAAAAGAGTTTCAAGAATCATCCCAGGACATTAAGGAGCAGTTGAAGAATACTAGGGAACAGTTAGACATCCACAATGCTCTTAAACCTCAGGCTTATAGTAATAAACACTTAACTATTATGCAGACTCAGCAGAAAGCCCTCCAGACATTAAAGCCACAAGTAGATGTGACAAAAAAACTTGCCCAAGATCTGGTAGTGGATGCTTCCGATTCAGCAAATGTCTCTGACCTCTTGTTGCAATCAGAATCGTTAGAAGAAGAATTCAACGCAGTCAACCAGCAGGTTGAGGATGAATGTTCCTTCCTGGAGACTAAGCTCCAGGGAATTGGCCATTTCCAAAATACCATTCGAGAGATGTTTTCTCAATTTGCAGAGTTTGATGATGAGCTGGACAGTATGGCTCCTGTGGCCAGGGATCTTGTCACACTGCGGTCCCAACAAAAGGACATCAAAGTTTTCCTTAAAAAATTGCAGGAATTGATAAGCAGCAATGAAAACGCAAACAAGTCATGTAAAGTGATGTTAGCGAGTGACGCAGAGGCATCTCCTGATCTCGCAGGTATAAAAAGGGATTTAGAGGCTCTGAATAAGCAGTGCAACAAATTACTGGACAGAGCAAAAGCCAGGGAAGAGCAGATCGAAGGGACGATTAATCGCGTTGAAGAATTTTACAGCAAACTAAAGGGATTTGCCAAACTGCTTGAGGAAGCTGAAGAACACGAAGAGTCCCAAGGCCTTGTTGGAATGGAAACAGAGGTTATTAATCAACAACTGAAAGTATTTCAGGTAAGATAATTCTCCCTATAGCTTTAGAACAGAGTTGTCAAAGTACTAGACAGCAGCAAATTTGTTACCACAGTTAACTCATTATCTGTCCTCCAACATATTTGTGATTGACGAGTTCAGGCCTTGGTGCGCATTAAAGATTTTGGAGTATCTACAGTTTTAGCTTTGTTTGTTTTTTTTTATCATTTTACACATGTGCAAACTTTTGCATGTTTTAAAACTTTTTGAAATGTTAGGTTTTCTGCACAATATACTTGCACTGTTGTTTCCCACTCTTTGATGCAGCTCTCACTGGTTTCTACATATATGCTGCAGAGTTATTTCACGGTGTTGGTGGAGGTGCCTTCTGATAGTGTTGTTGGACGATAGCACTGCCAATATAATCCTGAGTGAATTATAACAACATTGTGACTGTGTATAGATGTAAATGAAATGGAATCAGGTTTAGTCTTTGCGTAGATCTACATCTCTTACGTAGTCTTGCCCTTTTTTAGGAATAAGCCCATACAGTGTTGTGTGAAGGCCAAATATGGTTCTCACAAACCCCTACCCCACCCCGCCCGAAAAGAAGCTGCTTTAAAAGTTGCAGTAGACCTTGAGATTCTTTTAAGAAATTATATATTCTTTTTGCTTTTTGTTGTTGTTATTCTGTCTTGCTTAGATACTTTCTCTCAAGAACAGCTGAATGGATAATGGATAGTATTGGCAGCCTCAAAGCATCCTTCTTTCCATATCCAGGTGAAAGAAGAAGCAGATGCAGCCCTGATTAGTGCTTTAATATTAAACAATTCCAAAAGGAAGACAATAAGGAGAACAAGAGGAGGAGCCTATAATTTGTTTTTCTTGTCAATACTGGCACAGACGTGTACATTTTCATGCTTAAGATATATTTCATTTGTGTACTGCACATAATGAAATAAGAGTCTTCCTTCACGTTAATGGTCCAGTCAAGCAAAGTCCTAGGTGAAGCCAAGCCAAACATTTGTTCCAGGGGGTTGTCCAAGAGTCACAACCTGGGATCATGCCAAGGATTATGTTCTTAGGAGGACCTGTCTAAGTTAGGTTCCCAAGATCAGGAAAAGTGCCAGTCGGTCAGGAAAACAAAAGAATGTGGAGGTGAGGCGAGGCAAAGGCAGTAGGCCAATAGCTTGTGTAGTTCTGCTGAAACACAGCTCTGGTTTCTATCTTTTAACCCAGGCTCTCTTCCAAAAAACCCGTCTGGCAGAATTAATTTTAGTCTCTAGTGATATCCAAGGATTCCCACTGTGAAAGAAAAAGAAATTACCCCGCAAGGCATAAACTTGAATTTCATAAGCAGGACATTAGAATTACCCAGGATAATACTGTAGGCTGGAAGAGTCCTTAGGCCAGGGGTCTTCAAACTTGGCCCTTTTATGACTTGTGGACTTCAACCCCCAGAATTTCTCAGCCAGGCATGCTGGCTGAGGAATTCTGGGAGTTGAAATCCACAAGTCATAAAAGGGCCAAGTTTGAAGACCCCTGCCTTAGGCTGTAGAGAAAAGAAACCAAGCAAAAACTTTTTTTTTTGCCTGCTGTATTAACTCAGAGGAGACTGATAGAACATGCTTAACGTGGTGCTGTCCTTAAAGAGGTACTGGAAGCTTAAGCTGCTTCAAAGTGACGCCACCATATTCTTACCTAAGGCTTAAATTAAATTCAAATTTGTTTATTACAGCCCCGAGGCCAAATACAAATAAGATAAGAAGTTTTAAAATGAAATAAATATGAATATATATATAAAAATGAAATAAATGAAGTTTTACGTGTGTGTGTGTGTGTGTGGAAGAGAGAGAGAGAACAATAAGTATAATGGATTCTAAAAATAATTAAGAACATAGTTACTAAAATAAATCCACTATTATAAGAATTTCCAATCCTAAGTGTGGTATATCATACAAATGGTAGCACAGAATTGGGTGACTTGAGAGATAATTTTTGAGTCCTTGCTGGAGAATAATTGTTATCTAAGGCTGCACAGGTAGACTATTTCATTCCAATACGGTTGTGCTTATTTTGGGGTTGAGTTCAAGGTACTTCTTACTTTTAAAGCTCAGTTGGGTCTGAAGTTGCTTGATAATTCTAATTCTGCAAGATCGAATCTGGGTCGGTCACTGGGACCAGAGATTTACTCTTCCGAGTTTACGGACTCATGATGGAGCCCATCTTCAGGGAACTTCTCTCTACTGGAATACATGCTTTGGGCTAATTTTAATTCTCATGAATTGACATCACACGCTGAGATTAACTGGCATAAGCAGATAATAAGTATTATAATTTATAAATTGGAATTTTGATAATTAAAGGGTCACTTTCTTTCATATATTTTCAGTGGTGCATTCCAGTAAGTGTCTATAATCTTGCTCTTTGCCCAACCCCAACAAAAATATGACAGTTGGAAAGAGAAATGGAACACCTTCAGTCGTGGCACCAGAGTTTTGCAACATCCTTCTGAGAAGCCATGCATAGCCACATCACTACAAACATTTCATGAACTGATTGACTCCTGACACTTTTAGGAAGCTTTTAGGCGGCAGGGTCAAAGACAGTTTGGAAAACTATTGCTAGTATGCCCAACTGTTGTCCACTCTTTTTTTTTTGCTTTCCCAGAGAGCCATTGTACTTAATCACTCTGGCCTTCTATACTGGAATGTCACTCGCTTGAGACAGGCCAGGTCAGAAAATAGACACCATAAGAACTACTGGAACCCCGCTTTATTGTTGTAGGACATAATAACAGAATCTTGAAGGTCTGACAGATTCTCTCTTATCTTCCTTCCTTCCTTCCTTCCTTCCTTCCTTCCTTCCTTCCTTCCTTCTTCCTTCCTTCCTTCCTTCCTTCCTTCCTTCCTTCCTTCCTTCCTTCTTTCTTTCTTTCTTTCTTTCCTCCTTCCTTCCTTCCTTCCTTCCTTCCTTCCTTTCTTTCTTTCTTGGCACGGCAATCTAGAGTTTCTTCCTCACTAATTCTGGGCTAAACTCATATTTCCATAACATTTTTCATAATGATTGATGCAGTCCTTCTTCATTGTCATCACCATACTTCTTCAAATGAAGAAAAACAGAGATAATGCTGTTTTAGATAGATAACTTTTATTGTCATTTTGTACTGTGGACACAATGGCACATATTATGTCACGTACTGACACTTGGAATACGTGCAAATTAATTTATTAATAAATATGCAATATTTGTTTTATTAAAGTATGTGGGATTTATATTGGGTCCTATACAGGTAGTCCTCGACTTACAACAGTTCATTTAGTGACTGTTCAAAGTTACAATAGAGCTGAAAAAAAGTGATTTATGACTATTTTGCACACTTACAACCATTGCAGCCTCCCCGTGGTCATGTGATCAAAATTCAGATACTTGGCAACTGGTTCATATATATGACGGTTGCAGTGTCCCGTGGTCATGTGATCACCTTTTGCGACCTTTTGACAAGCAAAGCTAATGGGGAAGTCAGGTTCACTTAATAATCAGGTAATTGATTTAACAACTGCAGTGATTCACTTAACAACTGTGGAAAGGAAGGTCGTTAAATGGGACAAAATTCACGTAACAAGTTTCTCACTTAGGAACAGAAATTTTGGGCTCAGTTGTGGTCATAATTTGAGGACTACATGTAGTCATTAATTGCTTTTGCATTTCCTAGGCAATTACTTAATGTGGGTGCTTTAAAGGGTAACTTCCATATATTTCTAGTCCTCAAATATCGCTCAGAATGTGCCTTCTGATAAAACTTCACCCCAAATCCAGGCCTAAATTGATATTCCAATAGATAAGATGAATTTATATTAAATTAGCTGAGTAGATTATGCCTGTTGACTGAATCCAAAAGATATTCTTCCCTTCTGTTCCTTTTACTACAGCTCTTCCAAATTAAACCCAATATATTATGATCGTTATGAACTTTAACATTGTTGCCCACTTTACAACCTACCAGTGGAAAAACATTTAAAATGAGGATTTTTATTATGACATTTTTTTTTAAATAAAGGATTAATTTGCTTGCAAATATTGTTGTCATCCAAAGTGACTGTACTTTTTAATCTCCCCATCTACAGTAGATGGGATCCTCCATTCATATAAATGGAAGTTATCATCCATGCCATATCCCTTTAATGTATACTTTCCAGGTATTAGAAAAGAATGCGGCGGGTATAATAAACTTATGTTCAGGTACCCACAAATGCATTCCAGATCTTTTAAAAAATCCAGAGCCAAATCACTCTTGGCTTATTTGGATTCTTGAAGTAAAGCCAGCATCCCCACATTCAGCCACAAGTAGTAAAAAAGTACTTGTGCATTACAGGTAATCCTCGACTTAACGAGCACAATTGAACACAAAATTTTGGTTGCTAAGCAAGACAGTTGTTAGGCGAATGGTGCCCTGTTTTATGACTTTTCTTGCCACAGTTGTTAAGTGAATCACTGCAGTTGTTAATAACCCAGTTGTTAAGTGAATCTGGCTTGCCCATTGACTTTACTTGTCAGAAATTGGGATCACGTAACCCAGGAAGGGACACTGCAACAGTCATAAATACTTGCCAGTTGCCAAGCATCTGAATTTTGATTCCGTGATCACAGCAATGAGGCCACGGTTGTGAGTGGAAAACACACAGGTCACTTTTTTCAGTGCCGTTATAACTTGGAACGGTCACTAAGCAAATGATTGTAAGTCGAACAACTATCTGGATTCAGACACGATCATCTGTTTGGCAGTATAGCCAGAAGAAGAAAGTTGCCCTCCCAGTATTTTAGTAGGGCTAATCCTAGTATGGATTTTTAATGATGATGATGATGATGATGATGATGATGATGATGGAAGGGACCTTGGAGGTCATCTAGTCCAACCCCCCTGCTCAGGCAGGAAACCCTATACCATTTCAGACAAATGGCTGTCCAGTCTCTTCTTAAAAACCTCCAGTGTTGGCGCATTCACCGCTTCTGGAGGCAGGTTGTTCCACTGGTTAATTGTT